GTCTCGGACACAGGTTGAAGTTTATTCAACAAACACCGCCTTATATACACGTCCAAACCTCCTTCACAATCCACCCTTTGGCGAATACGTGCTGCCACCTAGACACGCGACTGGGATAGAGAATAAATGGCTAGAAAACAATGCGCGCACCAGGCCTCTCTAACCTGTTCCACACGCAAAACGTGAGCCACATCCTGTTTGCCCATTGAGCCGCTGTGACCTAGATACGGTTTCCCCAAACTTGCCTATGTCCCCATCGTGGGTATCTTCTGTCCCGAAGTCGGCACGAGGAAACCATTTTCCCTCTCTGCTCGGCCAACAGGAAAAGAAAGAAGGTACTAGAACCATTTACTCTCAAACCAATGTTTCTACAAAAGGTTCATTGCTCGGCCAGAAGGAAAAGAAAGAAGGTACTAGAACCATTTACTCTCAAACCGATGTTTTTACAAAAGATCCTACTGCTAGGCGTAACATAACTTCCAACCATATCCAGCACACGAAACAAGAAACAAAAAGAACATGAAACCCAGAGACAAAAGAACAGGCCAAAACAAAGGACCTCAAACCGCAAAAGCTGCGCAAGCACAAGGTGGTATGGCCTCGACTGCCTTCACAGCGCTTGCAGTGAATGAGCACTCGTGCAACCGCCATGGTGTGATCCAAAGCAATTAGCTCACACTTGTAGAATCTGGCTAACAGTCCATGCTAAGGGGAGATGAAGTATAGAAAACTGCAGCTCTAAACACACACACACACACACACACACACACACACACACACACACACACACACACACACACACACACAAAAAAAGACCTGCCACATTGGAAGAATATAGGAACAGGGATGGGGGGCAACGAGTTTGAATTATGTGGGGGATGGAGAATGGGTGGTGCTCGAAAGCACCCGATGTCGAAAACCCTGTGTCCAATGCGCCGCGGCAAACACACCTGCCTTTTTGCCCCGCTTTCTAAAGCCCCCAGTTTCAGAAGCCCATGACGCGAATCCCCCGTGTCAAGTGGCCCGGTCTTCAGCGTGATGGCGGTGCATTCTACTTTTAACTAAGAGAGAGAGTAACCCTGCACTCCAGCTTGCCTAACATAATCATGCTGTTCCCGGAACTCAAGCAACGAATAACTGGATAACGCTTCCCCTCCTTCAGGCGTACGCTGTACACATTCATGTGTTGTGACATTGGAATTTAGAACAAACAGAAAATATCAGTCAATGTCAAAATATTTATTTAAAGTCACAGATTTTGTAAGCATTGAACTAAAGCTTTTGTCAACTCTGAAGCACGCGCGAGCTCGCAGCTCCGACGAAGTTGATTCTGTCAAAACTCTAAACCTGCAGCTCATGGCGCCACGCTTATCATGTATCTATAATTAAGCACCAGTGCAGGTCGTACGTCGCTCTAAAATATATTTATTTTCATATAGGTAGATAAAGTCTATAGTTCTGCATCTTAGTATGCCCCTATGACCGCGGAGTTTATCGCTGTTTATCCAGTTTTATGCAATTGGCCACAGTACGTCATTACAAGATTTTAGCGGTTCAAGTTAACATAATATTGCTGTTTATTTAACTTAAAATAGCCTCTGTAGACCCTCAACAGTTTAGGTTAAGACATGGAAAAGTGATGGTTGAAGCGCAAAGAGGGTGCAACGGGGGCAGTGAAAACGAGACTTATGGCACAGGGGCAATACGGGACGGGGTAATTGAACGCGGGGTTTTCGAAATGCGGGGCTAATGACGCGGGGCTTCTGCGAAAGGGATTGTGCACGCGGGGAAATCGTGCTACACCCTGGAGAATATAGCAACCCTGCCCACCTGTTCCGACGCAACTTCGCACATAATCCGATACCATCCGAGCCTATTTAAAGATCTATATCACATTCCCACCCGATCTGATCGGCATTCCTAATCAGTTTTATTTTCATATGTTCAGTGACAATGCAAGCCAGTTTTAAATACTCTATTTTTATAATATTACTTTTTCGTACTTCTCAATGCAACATTTTCATGGCTGTTCCCCAGATCACGAGAGCCGCGCACAAGTAGCGATCCTCAGTTTGGGCATCTAGGACGTAGTACGTAGCAGTTGTGCGTCTCGTACGCACTGCAAAATCTGCGTAAAACTATCCAAAACTTCTTTCAGCAAGCGCTGCGACCCAAGGGGGTATCGGAGGTCGAGCGTGTTAGCGCACCGCAACTCGTACGCCGAAAGGTCCCACTGCCAGGGATCCCCACCCCCACCCGATTCGATCTGTTGTGAGGCAGACCCCAGGCTAGCAGTCGTACTGTAGTGGCTAAATTTTCTCATCTACAGCCTGAAACGGTGTCGCCAAAACCTAGACAGGCCGATCGCACGCTATTTAAAATAGTGAGCGTCTTATTTTCTTCCGCTGTGCCCAAAATGACGACAGGGCATGCGATTGAAAGACCAGCGGATACGCGGGCTACCACTCTTGCCTTCGAATCGTTCGGAAGTCGGGCACCTGCATTTGCACCATGATTGAAGAAACAGAAAGAAGCGACGTCAAATCACATTGACACAGAATCACTCCAAGCTTCCTTGCTTGTGCCCTTCAGCTCTGTGCGCCGTCAGCCGTATCAACGGTAATCAAAATTAGCAACGCCTGCCGCGCGCGTTCCGCTGCTCATACAAACAACAACAAACAATCAGGGTATTTTGCTGCAGAAAGTTACTTCCGCCAGTTTTAGCGAAATACGGATTGGCTCAACCCCTGCTGAACCGACGTTATTCAAGGTATTGAATTTGGCGTAAGGGTAGTGTGTTTGGGGTATGCGAAAAAGACTACGGTATTGACTATGGCGTACGCCGAAATGACTACGGTATTGATTTTGGCGTACGCCATAACCACTACCGTAGTCGAAGCGAAGGGGTAGTGAGATCGGCGTCCTACACCGGCTAGCGCCGGCGTTGCGGCGGACTAGAGCACTATATAGCTCCTACGGAGCAGAGTAGCGCAATCCTTTGAACCCCGTGTATTGCCGACAACATGGCCGACAGAGCGGCTCGGCGCGAGTCACGTGGTACTCAGGGTTCCAGGAGGCGGCCCGCCCTATGGGAGAATACATGGAGATCGACATAACACGGCTGATTAAAAAACTAACGGCGAGTTCACATTTTTCAAAACTAGCCTGTCGTGAAGTTAGTAAAGCGCTAAACACTTTATCAAAGTTTTAATAATATCGGATGCGTGTGCAAATTTTGAGAAGGCAATTTCCAAGGCAATGGCGTTTGAAGCAGACGATTTTTGCTCGCAGCGGAGATGGGCTTTTCGGGTTGGGGGAGCGGGTCACGTGAATGGTGTGACGTCGCCGTGTCGTCTGCTGCATGATGCCGCTCAGGCAATTTTTTAAAAAAAAGTCAGATCCTTGCGGGGCACAAAACTTAGCGCAAATTATTCTAAAGTGTTCCATTATTATGTCAAAAACAATTGCGATTCCGTACATTCCCACAAAACTGAAGAAACAACGATTTTCTCACGTTCTCCATGCATTTCTGACCGCAGTTGGAACCTCCGGGCGTTCGCCGCTAGTCGCCGAGAGGCGGCGTTCTAGATTGCGCTACTCTGCTCCGAAGGAGCTATATAGTGCTCTACGGCGGACCGGTTTTGAGCGGTGTCGCCTGTTTTCCGTTGGAGGATACAAATCCAGGAGACGGCACCACAACGAACTCCCGATTTTTGGTATTTCAAAAAGAAGGGCCGTAGTGCGTTCGCAATTGCGTTAAAAAACATGTTTTAGGATTGCCGTCATTAAATGTTATAAAGATGCCGCCTACAAAGCTTCTAAATTTCCTGATTTTTGACGTCACCGATCAAAAGAAGCGAGGAGGCGAGAGGCGGGAAAATCAAACGCCAAAAATAAAAAGGCGCGCGTGCGCGTGGGAAAATTTTTTTTCGCGATGCGGTTTTTTTTGCGTGTCTATGGCTGCAACTTGCATCGTTTTAGACAATAAAAATAAATACGACCTTTGGGGTGTCAGTGCCCCTTTAAGCTCGGAGTGAGTAATCGGTTATGTATGCAGCACATTTTGAACGAAAGCGGCTACTTGTGCTTGCGCCTTCTATAAATATCTTTGGATTAAAAAGTATTGATCGCCCTGTGAGGAGCTTTATCACATCCATATATATAGTACGGCTCATTGGGGCTGTAGCCTGAGCAAGCCGTAATTGTGGAATCTTTGTAAATAGTCCTCAGAGAATCTTCCTTGAGTGTAGTGATGTACCCACGCCACGTTCTGAGGGGACTTAAAGGATGTCCCTGCATAAATTTGCAACTTCTCAAGAATGTTGCAGAAGTTCTTTGGATGTTCTGACAACACTCTTAGAACCTTGTTAAGATATATGAATGTTGATTGAATGACCTGGTAATGTCCTGTGTCGTTCTCGGAACGTTCTAAGAATGTCCTTTTGAAAACATTCCTCGAATGTAGCGATAAGTGCCTGCGCCACATTTGACAACGTTGATAGAATGTTCTTACATAAATCTGCAACATTCCAAGAATGTTGCCTATATTCCTTTGAACACTCCCGGAATGTTCTCGGAACGTTCTCGTACTACGTGATTATTTTCTGGCTTTGCTTTACTTTGTGCTTTCTTAAGAAAATAATGCATTCTTCACCAAATGCTAAGAGTTTCATAGCCTCTGCCGGGCACCACGCATGGATCTCTGTCCACAGGCAGAAAGAAACAGCAAAAATAGAGTAAAGTAAATAGAAAAAAAATTGCCTCCTTCTGGCGTACCCCCCTCCCCCCTTTTTTCTCTCTAAAAAAAAAAAAAAAGTTAATTTTTGGGGAATTTTTTGGACATGGGTAATAACGTCGCCATGGCTAATTATTATTATTGTTCAGCGAATGTTTACTGTGTTTACTACTACTGCTACATCTATTCCAAGAACATATCTTCTGCTCCGCCAAACACATTTAGTGATTTTTGGCTTGAATAAATTTCACAGCGGGATGGCGCTACATTCCGTCCCATATAAATATATTGTTGTGTCTTCTCTATACCTATTTTCTCAAATCCCTCACTTTCGCTTTTCTTGTGCGCGCCTATTTCGTTCGTGTTCTCCACAGTATCCTCCATCCTCCACGCCGTCTTTGCCTCTTCGGTCATTGATAGGGCCGTTAGTTTCGGGAAAGTCCCGAATGAGGAAGTCGGACGATGCCTCCGCAACTTAGGAAACGCCCGGCGCCACCGCCCGATGCCTTACCGTAAGTGCCACGCTGGGGGTGCCGGACATTTATTCGAAGGCCGTATCGTTGAACGGCGTGTCGTCGAATCGCCGTTTCGTCGAATTGCACTTCACCGAATGTTTAACCATATCAGTGCCCTTTGGATGTTTTACTCTCGCTTCCGGATTGTTTTCCCACTGGTCACTTTTCGCCAAATGTTTAGTTGCTGAATCATAGAGCATAACAAAACTAGTCGGCACGCAATGTACTGTTCTCAGGTAAGATAGGCGGCTGTTCACTACCACACACTTTGTTCCCACTTCATTCCCCAACTTGTTTACGCATGAAAGGTACTTCCTGAAAGGGGATATAACAATTCCTCGCTGCGCTTTTTATATTTTGTGTTTATCTGCTTGCTTGCATTTTTATTCGATTTTAGGATGATAGCTTCCTTCTAAGAGATTAGTTTGAAGAGCCAGCAGGCCCACAGTTCTGCTGATTACAAAAAAACAAAAAGGGAAGACACATAGTTTTCCCTTTTTTTTTTATGCGACATAACGACAGGTAACAGCTCCGTACTTGGAGCAGAGTATGTCTCTTCAAGGACGAGCATGCACCTTTGAAGAAACATACCTTCATCACTGCACCTGATAATAACAGGTTTCAGAACATTTTAAATTTGTGGTCACATTTTCTATTGGCCTCATTAATAGTGAAAGTCATCCGTTACTATGATGAACTAGAAATGGAAGTAACAGTGAAATAAAGTTTCTTATTAGTTCTCTCACCCTGTAGGAAAATTATGTTTATAAATTATAATGATATAACACTGCTAGTCTTCCGTTGTTAAAAGAAAACCATTTCCTAGATCAAGTATTCTATACTGCTCAACTAGGTGGTGTTCACTAAAATGGATTCAATAAAATATTATAACTCGCCGCATAAATTTTGATCTTGCACGCTGCGTCACACAGTGATCTATAGTCGGTGACAGGTAAAGTGGAAGCTCCTCCCACCTTTTTCCACTTTAGCTGAGCGAACGCTGGAGAGGATTTTGCCTAAGTTCCAGCGTTCACTCTGCCAAGGGAGAAAGAGGTGGGAGGAGCTTCCACTTTATAACTTGTCGCCAACTATGCAAATGTCCCCCCCCCCCCCTCCCAGAAGAAAAAAAAAAAAATTACAGCATGTTTTTTTTTATTGCAAAAGCAAACGATGCATCGCCATACGCTTGGCCTTTGCCCAAACATAGCACTAGCAGTCCATATAGAATTTTCAGAACTATCCGTTATCTTCTTCAAACGATATAATGATTTTCTGAAAATTTCTTTGGGAAAATGGGGCCTGTTCTTGGAAATCGCTGCCATTCAGCTCCAGATATTCTAGGGCTTCTTTGGCCATCGTTTTCCCATTGAGAATTTCAGAAAACCAATTGTAACTTTTGAATAAGGTAAGAGTAAAACTATATGCACTACGTAGTGCAGTTCAGCCAGAAATGGCTATACACACTACGCTTAGAGCTCATGCCATTTGGGTCACCCTTTTCAAACAGCGCATGTATCACTGGGGAGCTTGTTAACACACCCCCCTGCCTGCATTCACGCCGCTTCACGGCAACAGTGTGCAGTTGCTAATAGACCGATCTCACGAGGAGTTGCGCGACGCCACCACTGCCGCGGTGCATTCTGGTACCTGTAGTTCTCCCCAGTTTTCCGGCCGCGTCGGCGCGCATTGTGCGCCCGGCGTTTGGAAATTTTCGGGTTAGCACGAGACTTTTAGCCAGGTGTTGACTCATGGTTTTCAATCGGTGGCTTCACATGTTGTATGCCACGGAGCTATAATAACAGTACCAGGCAGAAAGGCCTCGGATATTATGTCTTCCCGCAAGACAGAAGCATGGCAAAGAAAGGTCGACAGAGCCGGACAGAGTGGCAGGAAAAATAGCGTTTTACGATTTGTTTCGCGATTTGCTTCATAATTTATATCCAATTATTGCACGTCAGCTAAGATATGTAAGATTACAGGGCACGAGACATACAGATTTGACAGATTTGAAGTCGGGGCTCTTGTAGAAAATTGAAGAAAAACTTGTCCCCTGCCCGCTCCCGCTTTCGCACCGCAGGCTTAACCCAATTCCAATAAAAATGAATAGGATCATGTGATCAAGTGAAAATTTCAGGAAAAAGCCAATTGGAATTAAAGGGATATAAATGAAACCAACTATTGTGTTGTACAGCCAGTGGAACGGCCCGGGAAAACCAACCGGTACTAAAAGTACACACGTGCTCGACTCACTGTCCGGCTCCGCTACTAAGACATGAGTGCGTCTCACAGCGGGTCTGACGGTCACTGAATGGCAACCATGAACCATCCAGCCCCGCCGCTCAGTGATCACTTTTATATCCCTCGGCTCCCCTGGAGATCACCCCCGCCACCATGCGGGGGCACCTCCCTATCTGGGCGTGCCGAAGTGTTCCGTAAGCTGAAATCTGACCATTTGCTCCGTAGAGGCCTATTCGTTGGTCTATCTCAAATAGGACCTCCGCACTGCTTTGCGGAGGCCGTTTTTAATACACTTCTTACTCGGTGTATTTTGGTGGTTATAACTGCTATTGCGACGACATGTTTCAAGCACAACTGTGCTTGAAAAGATCAGGACAATCACTAAAAAAGAGCGACGATTCCCGATATGCACCACTTGATATAAAACAACTTTTTTTTTCGGAAGCAGCCTTCATTTTTTTGTTTTGTTTTCATACCAACGTGAAAAGATTACATAATGCAATTTAGAAGTGCAACACGTGCTTACCGCCAAAAATGTAACCAACGAACATCATCCATTTTGTGGTGGTCTATTAGGCTGGTGTTACTGATCCATTCTGCACTAGCACCAGTCGAGACCGCAGAAAAAAGCCTTCCCTGTCGGGCGACTGTTAGCGTTCGGATCTTGCGCAAACAAAATAAAACCGAATAGAAACTGTGCACGAAAAATCATCTCCACCCCAAGCTTTCAGGTATCTGGCATGGTTGCTTCTTTTTGATAGGTGCCAATTATTACGGTGCGTCAGGCATGGCCTTTCTGTAGATCAGTTCTTTGTGTGCAGGCTTCTCCCGCTGTTCACCTGTACTCTGTCGCACAGGCTGTCAACCAGAATGAAACAACTTTTAGAAAACTATCGCTGACCGAGAAAGTCTATTTAGCTCCTCTTACTTGATGGCTGATTAAACTTTTAGGTAAATGGTCAGCTAGAACGAGAGGGACAAACACAGACAGGGAGAAACAGTTCTCCCTCTCGTTCTAGCTGACCATTTACCTAAATTATGTACCAACTTGCTCAACTTCAGCCTGTTATGCTGATTAAACGTTATGCACAAGACTGAGCACCACCAAGCTCAGTTTTTCATCAGATTCGAATTTTCTTGTTCATTGCTATTGCACTAGATGTTCACTTGCTTGCAAGGTAATCGAGACGTCCGAGGAGTCGAAATGCTCGAGTAGTGGCGCCGTCGTTTTTTTGTTTTGTTTTTTCCGCGGCCGCAGTGAAATCACCCCGTGAACGGCAGTGGGCTCGCGCGTTCACGAAGACGAAGAAGCAGACGACGACGAAGCAGACGACAAAGCGATTCTAAAGCGATAAGAGGACTGAAACTTTTTCTGCTCTTGCTGAGGAAAGTAAGGCATCACAAACAACACAATCTTATGAAGCAAAAACATGCAAGAGAATCAAGGTGATACCGGGGCGTGCCAAATGATAATCTATGATGATGCAACGTACGCCCAGCCCTATGTAGCCGGGAAGCCGGGAAGGGTTGACTACAAGTAGCATGGCGGCGGCACCACTTCCGGAATGCGCGCGCCTGCGCAGTTCGCTTGGTGGCATCGGTCTATTACAAAACTTAACCTGTACGTCCAGCCGGCAACCCAAGTCCCACTGTCCCCAATTGCACCTCTGGAAAGGAGGTCCCATACTTTTTAGTTCTGCTAAGTTTCGTCAACAACATTCATTGTAAAAAAGAAATGCCGTAAATATCGCCAAATGCCTCGACAAAGCAAAATGTTTGAGAAAATGGAGAAAAAAAGTAGGGCCCACACTGCGGATCGCACTTGTGTTTACTTGAGTATGAAGCAGACACCTTGCCACTATGCTATGCCACCGCTTCGGAAACTCGTATCTACCTAAAAAGGCTGTAGCCTGCAGATATCTATTTTTTTTTAATTTATTTATTCATACTGTGTGCCTAGTGGCCATTACAGGAGTGAAATTGTCATCAGTTCTTCTCTGTCACGATCCTTTTGTCCCTTTCTCAGGACAGTCTCCCAGTGCCGCTGGGAACTCCGGAGATTCGCCACGAGCCACCGCTGTCCAGAGATCTCCACGGCCAAGGAAGCACACAGGTTTCTCAACAACATCGGTGCCTACGCCGATTTGCCCCGGTTTTTCAAGCCGTGCACGAAAAGCGACGACCAGTCGTGTCACCTGCTGGACCAGCTCGACATCTGGAACCAGTTTCTGCAGGAGGTGGGCATGCTGCTTGAGGAAGTGGCTCCGGGGACACTCGGCGTCGCTCCACAGTGCAGGGATTCTGACGGCCCCGCAACGGACCACTGCAATCCTCACGGATGGGTGCTCCTTCACTGGCTCTTCAAGGAACATCGCTGCATTGCAAACCTACGGCTCCTCAGTCCCAACAAACGTTCCCAGCTCCATCTGGGCGACGCACTGAGCCAGAACTCTGGGCTCAGGATGCTGACACTGAGTTACGAGACAAGCGAAGAGGAGCTCAGGATGATCTACTCCACCGTGAGACGTTGGACAAAGCTAGAGAGCTTGACCATCAGCGGACTAGCTCTGTCCAATGACACTGCGGTGCTACTGGAAGCGTCCCTGGAGAATCTGCCGTCGGTGAGGTCTTTGGACGTATGTTTCTTGAGTATCGCTCCTGCCTGTGATGCTGAGCTACTCAAGGGTGTGTTCGAGAGGATGTCAGCACTGACATCGCTCACCTTGTCCTACATGTTTGCAACACCAGACATTGAATTGGTGCTCCACAGCCTGGGGCCCGGTCTGTCCGAGCTCAGGGTGGATGACAGTTTTCTGGTACCCCAGGAAGGAGCAATCTTCCAAGAATTTCTTTCTGGCAACACCGTCTTGAATAAGCTGACCCTGATCCAAAAGGTGTGCACAGGAATGGGCGAGCTCGATAATGTTTTCAAGGGTCTTCTGCTAAATCATAACCTCGACGAACTGCACCTTTCGGGCTTTGGCCTCGAAAATCCCACGATGGAACTGCTTGCAGAAGCTGTGGTGGAGCACAGCACGCTGAAGATTTTGTCTGTCTTTTTTTTTGACGAGTGCTGGGAGATGGACGGTACACCTCTTGCGAAGATGCTGGGTCAGAACAAGAGCCTCCAAGAACTGAAGTTCGAAGTGGGCGAAGTTGCCTGCTACGACGCATTCGCCGATGCAGTTCGCAAGAATACCACTCTGAAGAAGCTGTCTCTCAATCTTGTCCAGTTAGACAATTTGGCCGAAATCTTTGTTTACAGGGGGTTTCTGGAGGCACTCTCGTCCAATGGAACGATCCAGCAGGTCAAGCTGGGAAGCATTTACTCTGTTTTAGTCAGCCAATTCAGCGAGCTTCTCCGTGAGACTGGGACTGAAAGAAGGGTAACTTTTGAAGTCGACTTGACCGACAGCGAGTTGTTTACCGAGGCTCTGGAGAAATGCTCGGGACTCGCTGAAATGAGTTACTCAGACTGGGGGTCCAAAATCCCTGTGCCCCCAAGTGCATATCGGCACCTGATGCGCTATTACAACCTTGAGGACTTGGACATCACCCTCTTGCATCAACCGATCGATGACGAGACCGTGACTGCCCTGGCTGAGTTTCTTGCATCTACCAGAACCCTGCAGTCTCTCTGTCTCGACTTTGACTCTTCACCGGCGGCCACACATGCACTCTTGGACGGCATCTCGTGCAACAGGAGCATCTCAAGTTTGGTCATAATAAGGTGGACTTTCAACGAACTGAATGCCTGCCTGTTGTGGCAAATCTTGAGGAACACGGACATTCTCAACAAAATCTATCTGTCGCTCTACAATAACAGTGATTTCAAGGCGCTGAGCCAGTTTCCTGAACGTCTGCTAGACAACCACAGCCTGCTCTCTGCAGATTTTTCAGACTTCCCGGATTTCATGTTTCAAATCAAGGACGTGATGCGGCGGAACTTATCGACCCTCTACCGCGCGGTGATGTTTGTGATGGGTTCGCGTGGAAGGCGCTATGCCGAGGCCTTTGAGCGTGTCTCGAGGAGTCCCGCTTTAGTCAAGGAAGTGCAGAAGTCTGCCTCCGAATCCAAGGAAGATGCCAAGGAACGGGTGCGGTGGGCCAAGGACTACCTGAACCAGCACTTTCTGGCGGCAGCTGGTGTTGTCAAGGGCACTCTTGTGTGTACCGAGAATGGACGGCTCCAGCTGGATCAGATTGGCTTGGACAGCTGGCTCCACATCCGACGGTACCTCAAAGTGGCTGATATCAAGGAATCCACTGACCAGCCATCCACATCCCGTCACCTTTATAAGAAGCGTCGATCGAGGCGTTAGATGTGTAGAAATTCCTTGTAGCTCTTTTTTTTAAATTGTTATTCAAAATGATTTCTTGTTATAATTGGCTGGAAGAAAAAAGAAAAACCTTCTATGTGTTTTTTTGTTATATATCCTCAGGTTTGTAGATGCTTGCTGTTCCTAAAGGCAAGTTTTGTTTTTGAAATTTTCTGGCATTTCTAAGAAGTACTAATGCTTATGGGCTATTTTCTGCCTGTAGTGCTTTGCATAATATACTTTTGATTTAAATGTGCTTGGGAGATTTTTCACACAAGTATTATTGGCAGTTAGGAATTTTTGAAGGTGGTCTTTCAGGTAATGTCGAATGGGGAACGCTTGAAGTTTCCTGCAATTTTTGTTTATTGACCCTAGAGTACAGGTCTTCTACAGTATTTCGAAGTCTGAGAAATAGTAGCAATTAAATGTCAGAGCCTTGAAGACAACCACATATATGTTGGGAATATATTCAAGATTATATTAGTGTTTAAGAAGTTAATACTTGTAAAGCTTCTGCCCAGTTATGTGGGAGCATGCAATGTTCACCTGGTGAAGCATCTACAATAAACTAGGACGCAGCAAATGGACCTTTGGTCTCAATATTATATATTAAAAAAAGCCAAAATTTTGCATTTCTTTTTACTGGCATTGCTTTCTGGTGGCAATGAAGCAGTAGCTCCGCCTCCAGCCAATGCTCCAGCACGGACTGCTTAATTTCCGTCGTGCTTTGGTTGCACATGCTCGCAAGACACCGAAGCGATATCGAAGGTAAAAAGCTTGTGCTATTAAACTCCGTTTCAATCCGAGAACGAGCGTAGCGGGTACCACAAAAGCGAGCTTTCAGCGTCGCTGCCAACCAAGCATGCTCGTGCAGTATAAGTATCCTTTAAGTAACGCTTTCGGTTGCCCAACTCTGCACGCTTGGGCTTGGCGTGGCGCAATGATGCACTAGTAACCGAAGCCTTCCCTTGTTTTCCTTTGTGTCGGAAGGCTCGTCTTGCTGAAACGCAGATTCCTCTTTCGCCTGTGCCAGTGCAGATAGTTTTCATTCTTTCATTGCATGGCCTGCAGCTGAAGGGGTTTCCAAATGTTCGACTATACCTGTTTTCACCTCAAGAACTGTAGTAAAACAGTCCGACTCTTCACGGAGCATTACTAATTTCTCCCTTTATGTTGATAATTAAGATATACGTTGGTGCATTTTAGATTAGATGTATCTTATGAAGACACACACGTTCCAAATGGCTGAAGCATTGCGTTTCTCCTCGACATCCAAATCTTGTAAGAACTGCTTCGCGATGCGTATGAACAATGCGCAAAACTTGTGTTTTTCTTGAGGTGAAAAGTATAGCTGCCCGTTCATCTTAAAAAACGGATTAATGAATTATTGAAGTTGATCACACAGTATGATCTGTCGGAGAACATGTCGACTCCAATGAATTATGATGCCCACGACAAACTGATCACCCTCTTGACTGCTATTTTTGATTTCCGCAGCACCCCCTATATTCGCTGAAACTTGCAAATACTGCTGCGGTCAAAATGCTCATCTACGTGGGCAGTTATTTTCCTACCCACTTACTAGGGGGCAGTGGTGTAGCCAGGGGGGGGGGGGGGGGGGGGGGGGGTGTAGTGTTCATGTTCGTGGGTCGAGACACCCTGAAATTTTATGCTTTTTCTTTCCCCTTTCTAATGTCAGTTATCTTTTTTTTTCTGTGCTTTGTTGTTTTGTCAAGGCATTAAAATTCCTATTTTTTTCTCTTTCTGCTCGACAACCCACTACGGCCAGGGGCCAGGCCTACAGCATTCCAAAGCAAAATGAAGATGACGACACTGTCCATGGACTGCGTGAGAAACACATGTCCGGCTCCGGCTCTCCGAGGAACTCTCGCCAAGCTCAAACCTATCAGTAACCGAAGCCTTTCTTTGGCTCGGATGTGCGAATGGCTCAGCTCCTGACATCACAAAAGCTGCGAAATCCTTACCTCAAAGGACACTGGCTTCGCCTCAGAGAATACACGCAACTTGAGTAAAATCTGCCTACCCTTTGGTTGTCAAGGGCTCGACGACAATTTTAGGACAGTGAAACAAATGCACAAGATAGCAATGATCTGACTCTGCAAGCCCTACAATGAGGAGAAAACAGGACGACCAAAGAACGGACACCTTAGCGTTTGTTTTTTTCTTTTTGTCCCGTCTTCCCCTCATTCAGAGTAAAACATCCGGCCCCTTTAATAAAAAGATGAATAAGCGAGAGAATAGCGGCAACATATGCACAGTGGAAGCGAGTTTGGAGTGTTTACAGTCACTTCGTTTCAGCGTACCTAGTAGACTTCTTGAATCGCTGCAGTGGGTAATGTTTGTAATCTTGCGTTCAGCACGCGAGTTGTGAAAGTTCCTTCACGTGAGTCGTGAAAGTTAGATTTATTTTCGTCCCACTTCGCCGAGGCAGTAGGTTGCAGTTACTGGGACCTGTTCCTGCCGATTAATGGAACTACTCTTTTTCTGGGATTTCAAATATTGTGCCATGAGATTTTTTCAGAAAGAGGGGCTAGCCTAGGCTAAATCTCTTGCATAAATGTCTCTTATGCACATAATTTTAGTCGAATTTTCATGACATTGTTCAGTTGGATAAGCAGTTATGAAAACTTAATTTCTTTCAGGTTGAAGATGTCCAATTCACATGCAAGATTTCCAAATATTGGGTGGGGACTTGATTCATACTTTCCTGTGCGGGTCTTTTATGAGGAGAATGTTGCGCAACAAAGAAAGCACCAGTGACACATATTATGTTGCCATGATTAGAACCATTTTTATTTTCTGGAAAAGTAATCCATGCTTGTCAGTGTTTAATTGCGACTTCACTGAATAAAGTTTGTTTCGTAATATTTCTTGGACACACATAAATTAATAAAAAAGAAAAAGGTTGCTTGCATGTTTTCAAGCATTGACAGGAATATACAACAGCATAGTGCAATGCTTTCAGGAATGTGTTGTTGACAGTGAAACACAATTTTATTAACTGTTTTATCACAACCATGAGTAAGTAAACATACACAACGTTGTGACAATATAAAAATTCTTCCCATGCTCTTAAGCCGGTAACATTGGCGCAGACTTGAAGCATGCCCGGCAGTACACTCACAGATGATGTACACATCTCGAGGAGCAAAGCCTGTCAAAGAAATTGTGAGGCCAAGAACCCTGGTTACATCGGGGATCTTGCACGGCAGATCAGCTGTTCGTAATATTACAAATCTCGCGAAAGATGTCTCCCGATTCATGAGAAAGCAGTCATCACCTAGACTTATCTGTATCTTTAGCCAAGTTATACTAAAACTTCGGGTACAGACTAAACCAAAACATGTAACTCTAGACAGAAGAGACTACAGAAGTTACAAAAGAACTATACAATACTTTTAACTGGCTAAGAACCGGGCACACTTAGAGAATGCAAAATAGACACTGAAAGGTCGCCTTTATATTCGACCGAGGGAGTGAAACTGAATTTAAATTAACTATTTTTCACATGCAATTCCACGGTTGGTAGGTTCCCTCCATTAAATTAGGGCCACCTCGGCTGGCATCTCGTCTATGTAACTTCAACTTGTTGCACGATGGGCCTCAGCGTCGTCCTTGCAGATGTTCATGAAGTGCATGCTACAGATCCCCGCTGACGTTGGAAACTGAACTGCACCCACTGAAAATCCATAATATAAGATCTCTGGTGTGACCAGCGGAAAATTGACACGAAATGATAATAATAAAAAAAAAAAAATATATTATAGTCCCTGACAAGCAATGGCATAGCCATGCATCTTTATTAGGAAGGCGGGGGGGTCGGCTGGGATGATCACTTCTGTTTGTGTGTGTGGGCAGGAGAAAGCTGGCCACCCCCATAAGCCCCTCCCCTAGATACAAGACCGATGACAAAGTAAGAATAGCAGGGCCTCTCTTCTGAACGACCGACCTTTCGCTGCGATTTAGCTGCACGTGCACGGTCGAGGCTCGCGAGATAGCCCTATCCAAGGTTGGAAGCTAGTGCTGGAGGCGGGGTAACTCCCTCCTGCCGTTTTATTCATACCAAAGGGATCCAACATCGCGATCGAAAACCCCAAATACTTTACTAGGGGGAATACATTCCACTCCGCTCATTTACATTAGACAGAACGCCTACAGCGCCGAATCCAGCCCTGACGGAGTGGAGGTCGGGTCCCTATCATTTTGTCGAAACTCGTTTCGTGGAATTACGTTTCGTGGACAACTTTTCGTGGACACACGTTTCGTCGACACTGTGACGTTTCGTCGACAGCACCACCGTAAAACGTTTCGTCGACAAACTTTTTTTTTTTGCTGTTCCGAAAGGAATGCGGTTGTAACAGATGACAAAGACGATGCCTAGCGCAGTTGCTTTCCAAGGTGAGCAACTGCGCTATCCTCTCGTTCTCATTCGTGTCACATGGAATAAGGAAGAGCGCGCAGGACTTCGCGCGCGGCCTATTCGGATATGTGCGAGTTCCAATGCCCGTTTATGGAACCGAAAGTTACTGGAAGAAGAAAAGTGGTAAAGAAAAATATACGTAGGCGCAAAACGAAACTTCGATCCAATGGTGAATTGCGGAAAAGGGAGAAAACACAGATTTTTTTCTTCATATTGGTTATTTTGAAGCAAAAATACAGCTTGCAGTCTTTTATTGAAACATTACAACCCTAATATTTCACTTTAAATTAAGCGTGCTCATTACCCTCAATTACTCAAAAGGAAAAGTGATGCAGTGTTTTACTGGCTACTGCGACTTATACGCGAATAAACTGTTTAGTCGTACTCGTTTCATCGTCATTTATCCTTAAGGGCCGTTTAAAAAGGACATTACATAAGGGGGCTGTAAACAATGTCAGATTAAAATAAATACTTGAATGTAAACATTTCGGCGGAACTCCGTCGTTTCTGAATCGAATGAAATAGCCAAAGCACGAAAACCAATAACACTCGCACTACCGCGAGCACACTGCCCGCGAGTAAACCTAAACAAATCTACATTACAATGCAAAAACAGAAAAACACGAGAATTGGTAACATATAAATAAAACATTACACCAAGTTTAGTCTTATTACACAAAGTAAACCATAGTTGATATCAAAAGTGCAACTTAATGCATTATATAGCTTCTCTCGAGCAGCCGCCACATGCAAGGCCTTGGAGGCGGTAGTACCACTAGACGAGATCTGTCGGCAGCAGCCGACTGGTCCTCACACGCGACATTCAATTGTTCTTTTATCGATGCCAGCAGACAGATACCTGGGGCAAGTTCGTGACCCAGCTCTTTGCATAAAGGAGCGGCTTCCAAATCTCATGTTCTTTGGTCACATATTGGTGGTTTATGTGCATGCAAAATTTTAGTACATACATAACATATGCAGAACTATAGTGTTATTTAATATCCAGAAGCTAAATATGCTAAAGTCTAAAAATCGCATGCGGTCTGGTAAGACAGTACGTTGAATACCCGGTGTTTTTAGGAGAAAACAACCGAGTTTTATCACCGTAAAGTACACTACGTGTAGCCGAATGCTCAGTTTCTTACAAAGTTTATTGCTTGCGGCTAATACCAGATGCCAATTAGCTTAAAAACCGATTTTATACAATTTCCAACGGTAGAAAGGCTGTGTGCACCGCAAACAGGCCTCGTTTTTTTCATTCAAATTTTTTAAAGAGTTTCAGTGTTTTGACGTGTGGACTATCTATGCTATGTTCAGGTGGCTCTTGAGGATTCTGCCAAAATACGCGACGCGCGGAAAGATAGACTTGCTCTGAAAACGATCCTGCCACTTTTTTTTTTCGAAACAGTCGGAGTGCCGGCGGCCAGCCCGCAAAGGGTTGCATCCGATGACGTGCAGACACCTCGATCACGAATGCTGCCGAAAGCGTGGCCCTCAAGAGCAGCGCATAATGTTGAATGTTTTAAGAATCTAATTTGAGAAAGGAGAGTGGTCGACAACAAAACTTTCCGGCTTTGACAATGCTTCCCCAAAGGTTCGGGCAAAGACACGAGCGAAACCATATAAATCGTAAGTTCCGAAATCAGTGCGATCGGTGCCCCGCCCCCGCCCCCCCCCCCCCCCCCCCCCAAGAAAAAAAAAAAGAAGAAAAAAAATTGCGATAGTTTAAGTCGGTGAGGCAAGATTGGCTGCGCACTGGTTCGCCATACTTGGCCCAGTCGGCCATCTTTCATCCATCCATCCAACGCAAGGCCGCGCGCCGCGCAGGCGCAGAGGTCGCGAGGAGGTGCAGCTGGCGGAGCTGGGAGAGCAAGCTGTCGACGAAACGTCGCAGCATCTGTCGATGAAACCAGCGGGTGCTCGTTTCCACGAAACGATCTGTCGATGAAACATCGCAGTGTCGACGAAACGATTTGTCCATTAAACGTCGTTCGACGAACTGATTGCCACCGGTGGAGGTCCGCGTCAGTCCACGCGCATGTGCACGTGGATGTTCACGGCGGCCGCGGCGGCGTCGTCTTTGATTCCACCTAAAGCCCCTCGATGTTTCAAAAGTAGCGCGAGGTGCGTCGATGCACGAGGCACGTGCAACCCTTGGGAAGATCATGGCGGCACAGCGCAGCAGAGTATTTGGCTACACTGTAATTTGGCGCAGCGCTGAGCAAAATTTTAGACGCCATGTACTTCCTAGAAGTGGCGCGCGGCACGTGTCTCGAGCATTTCCAACACAATGAATTTGGTATGTAGAACGACCATCGCCATCATTATCATCATTTACCGCCCGATAGCCGAGACCCCCGAGACCTCCCACTTACCCGACGATAGATGGCTCTCACCAAGCCCAGAAAACCTGATTGTATTTGAGAGGAGTGGGATGTATTCCCCCTGGTAAAGTATTTGGAGGCCCCGTCAAACACCTCAAGGGAAGGGAGAGACGCGCGCGTGAATCAAATATTCCGTCACGCAGGCACTGCCAATTCGACTTTCCCGCGTTCGGTATTCATCCTGTTTTTGTTCTGACACCGATTCCATTTCGTTTTTTCCGGCATATTTAGCCAAACTGATCCTCCAACGAACGGGGAACTTACTTTTGTCGGAGCACGTGGTCCAGGCTTCGCGCCGTTTGAGTCTCGTGCGGCTTTTCAGGGAAGCGATGGAATTTTAAGGACTGACTACAACAACATCGGAGGTTCTTACTGCAATTAACAACGAAAGATTTGTCTTAGCCGGGCTTTTATATATTCTCTATCGCAATCCATATTATTTGACTAGCTTAGCCGACCGCCTACGGCAGCGAAGCGGGGCGGCGGGGCGATAAACAACGCGAGCCACTCGGATAGGGGCGATAGGGGCGTTCCCTGGCGTTCCGCCAGGGGCTGGAATGGCGCTGTAGTCAGCGGCGAAACTTGGTTTCAGGAAAGTCCCGAAGGTCCCGAAGCCGAACACTGGTCCCGAATGAGGAAGTTAGCACTTGACGACACAGTGGTTGACGATGCCTCCGCAACAACGCCCGGCGCTGCCGCCCGATGCCTTACCGTAAGTGCCACGCTGGGTGTACCGGAGATTTATTCGAATGCCGTTTCATCAAACGCTGTTTCATCGAATTGCACTTCACCGAATGTTAGACCATTACAGTGCTCTTTAGATGTTTTGCTCTCGCTTCCTAATTATTTTCGCGCCGGTCACCTTTTCGCCAAATGTTTGGTTGCAATCATAGAGCATGACAAGATAACATTATAAAAACAGCGCAAAAAAGGACTGGACACAAAGTAGAAGGATACAGGACATGCGCTGAATAACAATGTAAGGTTTACTAGACCTTCCACGCGCGCACAGTGGCACGCGGAAGCACAAGCTCTTCTTTCTCTTTCGGCAGAGATAAATGCTAATAAATGCGATCCGTAAAGGTCTAATTTGTGTCCTAAACGCGGTCTGCACGTGGTGCGAACTTGGGGTGAACGACACGCATGATCTTAGCGTTTTCTTGTGCCGCTGTCAAAATTAATTATTTATTTTGGTCACGCGTTTCGCAACGTCCTTCTAGTGCCGCTGTAGGAGGAGTAGGAGGATTCCCGTAAAGTAGTAGAGAGGACGGAGTTTGGTCATGCGGGAAAAACGCCGACGATGTCTCGTCCGATAGTGCAGCTGTAGAATTTTTTTTTCTCACGTCATTTATTTTTGTTAAAAGAGAAAGAACAGCATGTGCTTGCGCGTGCCACTGTGCGTGCGTGAAGTTTTAGTAAACTTTTGGTTGTTAGTCAGCGTATGTCCTGTGTCCTTCTATACTTTGTGTCCCGTCCTTTTTGCGCTGTTTTTTTCAACCAGCCCAGCAGCTATCGTATTACAGCGTAACAAAAATTGAGTGGGCATGCAACTTACTGTTCTCCGGTAAGATAAGCGGCTGTTCTTTCCCCAGCTTGTTCACGTATGAAGGATAACTAACCCTCGCTGTGCTTCTATTTTTCTGTTTATCTGATAGATTGTGTTTTATTCGATCCTAGGATCATAACTTCCTTTCTAAGGACTTAGGTTGAAAAGCCAGCAGGCCCACAATTCCGCTAACTACAAAAAACAAAAGAAGTTTTTTTATTTTTTTTTATTTTTTTTTTTTTTTGTTTTATGCGACATAGAGACACTGTCATAGCTTTGAGGACGGCTTCGTGCTTGAAGCAGGATATGTCTCTTCAAGGACAAGGGTGCACCATTGAAGAACCATACCTTCATTACTGCAACTGACGATAACAGATTAAAAAAATTTTGGAGTCTGTGTTCATATTTCTCATTGGCCTTATAAACAGTGCAAGTCACCAGTTAATATGATGAAATAGAAATGGAAGTACCAGAGAAATAAAGTTCCTTATTAGTTCCCTCACTCTGTAGGAAAATAAAGTTTATAAATTATGATATAGCACTGCTACTCTTCCATTATTAAAAGAACACCATTTCCTAGATGAAAAATTCTATACTGCTCAACTGGGCAGTGTTTGGTGAAACGGATTCAATGAAATGGCAGTCAGTGGTATGTCCGAAACTCACCACGCAACCCGCATTGTGATCTTGCACACTGCATCACGCAGTGATCTACTCGGTGACAGGTAAAGTGGAAGCTCCTCCCACCTCTTTCCGCTTTAGCCGAGCAAACGCTGCAGAGGATGTGGCCTCCTCTCCAGCGTTCGCTCTGCCAAAGGGGAGAGCGGTGGGAGGAGCTTCTACTTTACTCTTAAAGGCCTACGTACACTTTTTCATCCTATATCCTCTCCACTTTTCCCCCAACTTTGCTCCCCTCGCAGCTTAGGAGAGGGGAGTGCCGAGGATTATCTTCCCTGCAGAAAACTGAGGTTTTATACGTTGGCCTTTAACTTGTCACTAACTATGCATATGTGCCCCCCTCCCACCACAAGAAAAAAGAGAGAAATAATTAGTGTTTTTTTATTGAAAAAGCGAACAATGCATCGTTGAACGCTCAGCCTCACCAAAATATAGTGCCATCAGTCCGTACTAGATATAAAAGTTCCAGAACTTACGGTTATCTTAATAAAAAGATGAAATTATTTTTTGAAAACTTCAATGGGAAAATTGGGCCTATTCTTGGAAATTGGCGCCATTCAAGTCCAGATGTTCGAGGGCCCCTTCGGCCACCATTTTCCCATTGAGAATTTCAGAAAATCACTTACACAAGTTTTGAATAAGATAATGGTTACCGTATTTGCTCGCATATTGGTCGATACGTCGTATAGGTCGACCCCCTAACTTCGGGACCCCCGAAAAAAAAAAAAAAAGTTGAAAAATATAATACCGGGATTCGCGTATTGGTCGACCCCCCAGTTTTGATGAGGCGATTTTTGAAAAACAGGTCGACCTATACGCGAGTAAATACGGTAGTTTTGAAACTTCAGCATCTGGTTCAAACTGCTAGCTCTACATCTGGGTGGAGAATGAAGGTTTGGTGACTGATAGTTTGTTTTTTCAGTAAAAAGGCCCCTGCAAACATTTTTTTGAAACACCCTGTATAATCCACCCCCCAACCCCCACCTCCCCCCTCAAAAAAAATTTCCTTCACAAAGTAAACAAACCTTTGGTACATGCCCCCCATACTGAACGCATAGGAATAGAATTGTGTGCAGGTTTCATGGTTTATGCAGGCAGGAATTTGGGAAGGGGTATTTCTAATATGATTCCCAATACGAGAGCTCTGCAATACGATTGCAGAGCTCTCGTATTGTCTGAAGTAGCCATCAATCCTTCTCTGTCGTGATCCTTTCGTCCGTTTCACAGGACGGTCTTCCAATGCCGCTGGCAACTCTGGAGATTCGCCTTGAGCCACCACTTTCCAGAGATCTCCACGGCCAAGGAAGCATACCGCTTTCTCAACGACATCGGTGCCTACGCCAATCTGCCCCGGTTTTTCAAGCCGTGTACGAAAAGCGACGGCCAGTCGTGTCATCTGCTGGACCAGCTCGACATCTGGAACCATGTTCTGCAAGAGGTGGGCATGCTGCTTGAGGAAGTGGCTCCAGAGACACTCAGCGTCGCTCCACAGTGCAGGGCTTCTGACGGCCTCGCAACGGGATGGGTGCTCCATCCGTTGGAAAGGAGCACCCCTCCCAATGGATGGGTGCTCCTTCACTGGCTCTTCAAGGAACATCGCTGCATTGCGAACCTACAGCTCTTCAGTCCCAACGAACGTTCCCAGCTCCCTCTGGGCGACGCACTGAGCCAGAACTCTGGACTGAGGACGCTGACGCTGAGTTATGAGACAAGCGAAGAAGAGCTCGAGATTATCTACTCCACCATAAGACGTTGGACAATGCTAGAAAGCTTGAACATCTGTGGACTGGCGCTGTCCAATGACACTGCGCTGCTACTGGAAACCTCCCTGGAGAGGCTACCGTCGCTGAGGTCTCTGGATGTATCTTTCTGGAGCATGGCTCCTGCCTGCGATGCTGAGCTGCTTAAGGGTGTGTTCGAGAGGATGTCGGCAATGATATTGCTCTCCTTGTCCTACACGTTCACACCGCCAGACGTTGAATTGGTGCTCCGCTGCCTGGGACCCGGTCTGTCCAAGCTCAGCATGGGTGAGAGTTGTCCGCTACCCCCGGAAGGAACGGTCTTCCAAGAATTTCTTACTGGCAACACCGTCTTGAAGAACCTGACCCTGGTCCAAAAGATGCGGCCCTGGTCCAAAAGAATGGGCAAGCTCGATAATGTTTTCAATGGTCTTCTTCTAAATCATAACCTCGAGGAACTGCACCTTTCGGGCTTTGGCCTCGAAAATCCCACGATGGAACTGCTTGCAGAAGCTGTGGCGGGGCACAGCACGCTGAAGATATTGGAGGTATTTTCTTTTGACGAGTGCTGGAAGATGGATGGTACGCCGCTTGCAAAGATGCTGGGTCAGAACAAGAGCCTTCAAGAACTAAACTTCCAAGTGGGCGAAGTTGCCTGCTACGGTGCATTCGCCGAGGCAGTTCGCAAGAACACCACGCTGAAGAAGCTGTCTCTCAACCTTGTCCAGTTAGACGACTTGGCTGAAATCTTTGTCTACAGAGGGTTTCTGGAGGCACTGTCGTGCAATGGAACGATCCAGCAGGTCACGCTGGGAAGCATTTACTCTGTTTTAGCCAGCCAGTTCAGCGAGCTTCTCCGTGAGACTGGGACTGAGAGAAGGGTGACCTTTGAAGTCGACTTTTCAAATGCCGATTTGTTTACTGAGGCTCTGGAGAAATGCTCAGGACTCGCCAAAATGAGATACTCGGACTGCTACTCCGAAATCCCTGTGCCCCCAAGTGCATATCGGCACCTCGTGCGCTATTACTACCTCGAGCGCCTAGACATCACCCTCTTTCATCACCCGATGGATGATGAGGCAGCGACTTCCCTGGCTGAATTTCTTGCATCTACCAGAACCCTGCAGTCTGTCCATCTCCGATTCCACACTTCACCGGCGGCCACACATGCACTCTTAAACAGCATCTCGTGCAACAGGAGCATCTCAAGATTGCACATATCGACCTGGACTTTCAACGAACTGAACGCCAACCTGTTGTGGCAGATCTTGAGGAACAGCGACGTTCTCAACTACATCTGGCTGTGGCTTGACTGTAACAGCGATTTCCAGGCAATGGACCAGTTTCCTGAACGTCTGCTAGACAACCACAGCCTGCTCTCTGCACATTATATGCACTGTCAAGGTCCCGAGTCGAAAGTCAGGGACGTGATGCGGCGGAACTTGTCGACTCTGTACCGTGCGGTGATGTTTGTGATGGGTTCGCGTGGGAGGCGCTATGCCGAGGCCTTTGAGCGCGTCTCGAAGAGCCCAGCTTTGGTCAGGGAAGTGCAGAAGTATGCCTCCGAATCCAAGGAAGATGCCAAGGAACGGGTCAGGTGTGCCAAAGTATACCTGAACCAGCACTTCATGGTGGCAGCTGGTGTTGTCAAGGACGCTGTTACGTGCACCGGGAATGGACGACTCCAGCTGGATCAGATTGGCTTGGACAGCTGGCTCCACATCCGACGCTACCTCAAGGTGGCCGATATCAAGGAACCCACTGACCAGCCATCATCGTCCCGTCACCTCTATGAGAGGTGTCGATCGAGGCGTTAGATGGGTAAATTCCTTGTGGCTCTTTTTTTATAATTTTTATTCAAAATGATTTTGTTTTAATTGGCTGCAAAAAAAAATCCTTCTACATGCTTTTTTTTTCTTTGTATCCTCAGGTTTCTGGACTTTGACGTGTGTTTCCTAAAGAGAAGGTCTGTTTCTGAAATTTCCTGGCATTGTTAAAGGGATACTGAACCGAAATTTGTATTTCGCAAAAATAAGGCTGCAGAAGCGTTGAACGGGATGCTACAAACTCTAAAACATCACTCATACATCGATATCTCGAACAGATGGCTGTACTTTTGGAAAAGAAGGGCGCGGTCAAGCGAGGACTATGACGTCATTGTCCTCCTGGAATTCTGAAATTGGAAAACAGCGCGCAAAAAGACGAAGACGATGAGAGAAGAGCACAGGACAAGCGTTGACTATCAACTGAAGTTTTATTAAAAAAGGCTCAAGCAAGAAAACACCACACAGTCAACCAACGCCGAAACAACCAATGGCATGTCGCTCACCAGTCATCTATAAAATCTATCTCTTTTTTATGAAGATAAACAGAAGGTTGACTGACGCAGTGCCCCGTGCCAGCTTTTTCGATAGCATGCGCCTCCAGCACCTCTCTTTGCACTTTTGTGCGCCCCCTGCCAATGATTAAGGTATTTTGGAAGACGGGGTGACACTGGCAGTCTCTGCAATGTACGTACAAGTGACCTCCGGTCATTGACCGCAGGGAATCCGCATGCTCACGCATTCTCTCGTTGACGCAGCGTCTTGATTGTCCAATGTAAACCCGTCCGCATGACAATGAAAATTTGTAGATGACACCCACAACGCAATCCACGAACTTGTTGACATGCTTAACAGTACATGACATCTTTTTACTGCTTGCCTGGTTTACGCGTGGGCAAAGTTGTGCTAATTTTTGAGGCGCTGAAAAAACCATTGGCACATTGAACCGGTTAGCCACTTTTTTTAAATTGTGTGAAACCCTATGTAAATATGGGACAACCTAAGGCCTTTGTTTAGGCTTTACTTTTGGTTCCTGAGAACCGCTCTTGACTTTTTTCAAGAGTGTCTGAGAGACACCAAGCAAAACAGAAAGAGGAAATCCTGCTCCTAAAAGTCGCTTGACCTGGGCTTCATAGCTGTCAAGCATGGCATGGTGACAGGACCTGTACAGTGAAGCTTGGAGGCATGACGTGGCAATATTTCGTTTCACAAGTTTGGAGTGGGCGGAATCGTATGGCAGGATTTCCTTCTTGGTTCGCGGGTTGTAGCACCAACACACATGTTGCCCAGTGAATTGCAGCCGTAAATCCAAAAACTGCAAGTACTGACCGTGCAGCAAGTAGACCTGTGCTCTTCTCTCGTCGTCTTCGTCTTTTTGCGCGCTGTTTTCCAATTTCAGAAGTCATGAACCAACTCGCTTGCATCGCCACCTTAATCCTCCTGGAAAATTTGAGAATGAGGGGAAGCGGCTACGCTTCACTCCTCCTTGCTTCGGTTCACCAGTTCAACGAGACGTCGCGAGGAGGAGAGGGAATGAGAATCGTGACTTGTCTCGTCGGCAGTGTTCAATCGCCGCAATTCTTTAAAAAAATACGGCGATCTGTTGGAGATATATGCTGTATGAGTGATGTTTTTAGGTTTTGCAGCACCCTGCCTATCAGTCCTGCCTTGTTTTGTGAGCTCGAAATTTCGGTTCAGTTCCGTTAAAGAAGTACCTATGCTTATGGGCTATTTGCTGCCTGTAGTTGCTTTGCATATACTTTTAAAATAAATGTGCCTGGCAGTTAGGAATTTTCGAACATAGTCTCAAGTAATGTCAAATGGGGCATGCTTGAAGTTCCCTGCAATTTTTGTTTATTGACCCTAAAGTACAGGTCTTCTAAAGCATTTAAGAGACTGAGAAATAGAAGAATTGAACTGTCAGAGCTTCGAAGACAACCACATCTGTTATGAATATTTTAAAGGTTATATTAGTGTTTAAGAAGTTAATACTTATAAAGCTCAATTGCATGGGAGCATGCAAGGTTCACTTGGTGAACATCTACAATGAATTTGTATGCAGCAAGTAGACCGTTTGTGTCAATAATAACAAAATAATGAAGCCAAAATTTTCTACTGGCATTACTTTTAGGTTAACACTGGAGGCAATGAAACAGTAGCTCCGCCTCCAGCCCACGCTCCAGCATGCACTGCTTAATTTCCGTCGTGCTTTGGTTGCACGTGCTTGCTAGACACCAAAGCGATATCGAAGGTAAAAACCTTGTGCCACTAAACTCTTGGTCAATGTGAGAGTGAGCGTAGCAGGTGCCACAAGAGCAAGCTTTCAGCGTCGCTGCCAACCAAGCATGCCCAACTTGGGCTTGGTGTGGCGCAGCTCAGGTTTTCTTTTCGAATTGCCAAACGACTCGCAAGGACTAGGATTGACAAGACACAGCCTAAGCTTGTTATAACAGACCTTGATTCTGACCAAGATTTCGGTCTGTTGTAAAAGGACTATGTTGTATGCAGATATGAAGTTGAGTCAATGGTATGTAAAGGAAAACCAACCGAACTTCACAAATCGGTATGTTATATCCAAATGTCTATTGTAACCAGGTCTGTTGTAATGAGCTTAGACTGCTCAACCTTTCTTCAATCCCCCGTCCTTTGTGTTTTCCCGAAGCTCCCCATCTTCGCACTGGACAAAGACCATTATGCAGATGGCGCAAGTTGCCGGCCGATCCCAAGCACTGTCCATGGTCCTTCGTAATATCTGTCCATCTACCCATTCTGCCATTTTGTTTGTTCATGGTTTCTTCGTTATGCCGTGAAGCCGTCGGGCTATTGAGGAGGAGATCGAGGAGTGTCTCTCCCTAGCGGCCATTTAGGGAACTAAAGCTGTGTAGCCATGGCCTCCGAGATTTTCGCCGCAAAGGCTGCGCTCATCGGGCCATTGCATTCGCCGGTAGAGACTGTTGCTGCGGGGTGCTTGGTGGCACTCGCAACAAAACAAAACACTAACAGATAGCTGTGAATCATCATCACCACCATTACCGTTGGTCCACGGATAGAGTGTACTAGAAAGGAGAGGTGGGGCCACCGGAGTGCTATTGCTGCAGCTCCACATGGAAAAAAAAACAACTAATCCAAGCCACTTTGTCCATAGCGCCCTAGAGGGCGCTATGAGCAAAGTAGCTTGGATTAGCCTTTTTTTCATGAAACACGCATTGCGCTTCAACGCCAAGCTCGACCGGCACACTGGTCAAGGTCATAGAAACAATAGAACGCCGGGGGCACATTTCTTAAAACAACCTAGGCGTCACATCTATACACAGCGTCACCGTGACCGGACTTGTCGTCACAATGAAATGCCGCATCACGACGACGTGTATTACAGCTGCGTCGGGCACGTTGAAGACACCATGCTAGCAGTTGTACTGCACTGGCTAAATTGCTCAAGTCCAGCCAAGACACCAGACGCTCATTGGGGCTGACTAACTTCCCTACAAATACCCCAATGCGAACTCCGCGATCCGTGAACATTTATCCTACCTGAATGACGCGGCCATGGATCTTGCAGTTGGAGGACGTCCGTGACAAAGTCTAACAGAGGAGGGAAAGACGCTTCTCTTTGTTTACGCATTTCCTCCCCGATTTCCGCGACCCCGAAGTCGTGGTACATATGCGTGCGAAAGGAAAACAATGGATATAACAGAATGAAACTGTTCTGCTTACAAGAAAAATTAGTCCGGACAAAAACGGGTCCTGGAATGTAACTGCGGAGTGCAAGGTCAAAGACGAAAGGTCAGTGTTCGTCTTTGTCGCGACCACGGTTGGTAAGATTGTGCAATGTTTAAAGCAAAGCCAACGGGTAAATGAAGATTTGCTGAAACGCCGCACACAAGGCGTTTAAAAAGCGTTCCTTTTTGAGCTCCATGTTGGTTGTGCATTCCACGCCACGCAGCAACGCTACCGCAACTCGCGTTGGTAGCACGCCGAGCATGCACCGAACAAAAAAGGTGCACAAGCGTCTCATGATTGACAAGATGCCCGACTTGGCCCAACGCAATCGCCGGCTTTCTTGCATCGCTCCTCGTCACATCTTTCGTCTGCTCGCTCACTCCCTGCACCTGGTTAATTTTTCTACTTACGAGTCGCCTTTTTTTTTTTTTTTACTAATTTTTCTTTACTAAGGAAGAGGACATAGCGGTGTTAGAAACGCGCTTCCACGGAACAAACGTTAGTGCTGTATGCCGATCGACGGTGTTGATCGCATGCATGCGAGCGAGAAACTTTACGATAGTAGAACATTCTTTTATCAGCATTTCTTGCTTAAAACAATGAGACTAATTCGAGTTTTGAGTTTAATGTATCTTTTGTGCAGCCACCCTAAATACATACAAAAAAAAATTGGTGTTTTTTGTTTGCTTTTCCTAAACGTTTTGTGCTTACTCACTGACACATGGCCCCCACCTTTTTTTTTTAATGAATTGCAGGGGGGTGGGTGATGGACTTAGGGTATTACGGTAGTGCACAAAGACTGTTTTCATCACGCTTGTTTTTTGTTCTTTTTTCCGATAATTAAACCAATTCCTCACTCACTCACCCTAATATCAAAATGGCAGATGGACGTCATGCGAAAGCACCCCACTGCCGCAGTACGTTTGCGTGACACAACACGGAACAGCCACTTTCTGATAACAATCTCAAATGTAAAAGCATAACAGGAAAAAAAAAAAAAAAATACGGCAATCGACACGTTTTTGTTTATTGTAAAGTGTGCTGTACCTTTGCTCCAAAACGGTTTTCTGCCCACCACGGATGTCCGCACAACTACGACAATAAGACAAGATGTACCACAATGCTTTATTAAACACGAGCCAACTCCCTGACAACCAAAAAAAAAAGAAAGCCCCCAAAAACTTGTGTTCAAAAGCAACATTTAATAAATAAGTTTCTGCTCCCTTCGTCCGATAGCTAGCAAAATAGAATCGGCATGAGGAATGATAACAAACGCCGGGTCTCAAGGCCCGTATAACAGATGTAGGAAACTGAACAAGACAAAAGGAATACAAAAAGAACATACTGAAACAGGCGTCATGCCACACAAATTGGTATCAAATAACAAGCGACGATCAACATCTGTAAAAAGCCCAAGACTAGAAAAAGAAAGGAGGCATTGTTTGTGCTTGCCATTACGTTATAATTACTATATCCAGGTTTATCACGAAAGGCCATACTTCTATAGCGAAATAAATACATAAAATTTACGTCTTCAGTACCCGCAACTTTACATCCACTAAAACAGTGAAAATTACGGGTACTGGCAGTAATACATGCTCGTACAAGGAACAAAGTGTAAATGCTGAAAACAGGTGACATGTAAAAAAATGTTGCGTTAGAGCCATAGTCAGTTTATTCTGTCCATCCAAAGATCCGCTGTAACCTACGGTATATGCAAGAGAGCAAAAGCGATTATAATCATATTTGCCCAATAGTACTAAATTACATTGGTACGCATTGGGTAGAGCCAAACAATTTCCCTCGAACATGTTCCTTCAAAAACATGGACGCATATGCTGGCTGAGAAAGTCTAGAATAAACACCAGAATGCCAAAAATGGAAACAATCACATACCGTAAAATACCGGGCAAGCGCCCACTCAAAATTTAGAGATAATCACGAAAAAATGGGTGATGGACGCTTCTCCGGTCATCAATTTTACATATCGATGTACTGTGCATATATTCTCAGATCTTACAAATTCGGGTATGGGCGCTTAGTGTGGCATGGGCGGATGCACGGTATTCTATAATATACAAAAAAATCTAAAAAAAAAAAAAAAAAATCATAAACCATGTGAACAATTGCCAACAGCTACTTTTTAAGCTTTTTTGGTTGTTGTTGTGGCAATTATTTCAGATTTTTGAATGCTCATAAATGGACCATTCCCAGTTTTTCAGGTTGACAAATTCGAAAAACAAAAACTTACAAAAACAAGTTCTCTGAATTCCGAATTAGAAAACACTGTTTATCTCATCGGCCTACTCCCCAAATTAGAAAAAAAAACAAAAAACAAACAATAAAATATAGAAAGAATAGCTCATGATTTAAATTCACATGAATTACTTTGGTTTTTGCAGACCTTTTGGTAGCTAATGAAACAAAATTATAGTTGAATAGACATTTCTATGGTCAATTTGAAGCAAGCGCAACAGCCGTTGGCCAAAGCAATTACATTTCCGTGAATGTAAGACTATAAACCAAACAACGAAAAAAGCCTTTGTAAAGTGCATCCTCAGTTTGTACAGTGCTTAGTGGCTCAAGGCTTTACAGACTCTTATAAAAAAAAAAACATGGTACAGTTTTGAGGTGCAGTAAGGCCTGTTCACACATACATCGGGGCACTAAACAGAGAGCTCAATTCATGCTATGTGAGCACTGTATTAGTGCTCCGCTACATGCGACTGCTTTTTTCAGCATACACACACAACGCAACATGATCTAAGCACTTATGCAGTGCTGACTTTGCATTTCTTCAGCACCATGTGTGAAAAGGCCTTTAGGGAGAACAAAGGCATCACGGCCAGGCCTGCAGATTTGTTGATAAAATAGAAATGGACGCGACGTCGCAAAAGCATCCAGGACACAAAATGAAGAGACTAGAGTCGTTGAATTTCGAAGAGACGAACTTCTGTATCGTACCAAATGGGAGGGTCAACATTCCTGAAAAGAGATGCAGACAATTTTTACCACCTCCATCGATTTGCTTTAATAAAAAAAAAAAGGGGTTATTAGATACGCTCTTAGCTTCTTAGGTACAGTTAGTAGTGTTGTGCAAATATTATAATTTTCGAATATTATAATATAAAATAATAAGCTATTCAATATTCGCTTCGAGGTGAACTGCGATATTCATACTTTTTGAAGTGTTGGTCGCGGCGGGTTAGCCCCGTTGAGTGCGCTTCTCACCGAGCACCTGTACACTGCGGAAAAGCACCACCCGCGGAGCTCGTGGGCTCTGCGGGTATTGCTTCCCCGCACTGCACATATGTTCGGCGAGAAGCGCACTTGATGGGGCAAACACGCCGCGATCATGCGAGTGTAAATGTAAGAAGAAATCTATTTGACAGCTTGCATTCATCATTCGTGCCCGTTATTTTTTTTTTTTTTATGTTAAATTTGAAACAGGTGTAAGGACATTTGCATATAGCAAGCAAATTTATAAATTCCCTTGATTAGGATAGCTGTGACAAATCTGATATTTACATACAACAGTTCATATAATAGTGATATTAAAGGTAACTGAGCTTGAAAGCAGACAAATGGAAGGTTGCGAACAACCTTCACGAGTTTAGCTGATTTTTCGTTCACGCATGGTGCTCGGTAGTGAAAGACTAAGAAACTATGTTTGATTTTCGATTCAAATCAATTCAAAAGGTTTTGGCCAGAAACAGTATTCGTTTCGAATTTGCTTCAAATTTAAAATCCACTATTCACACATGCCTAACAATTTGGATTGCAAGTTTTCAAGCAAAACACCTGAGATGCACTTGCTAGGTGTCAGGTCAAACAAAGATTTCTGGAAAATATATATTATATCACAGCAATGTTTATATATAAAAATGTAGCTTCGCGGGATATTTGGAGGAAAAAGGGTATAATTTCCTCTCTCTCCAGTTATGGCAACCAAAGCTGCTGAACACATTTTCAACCCTTCAAAGAGATCAAACATGGCACACCTTCCACGGTAAAATGTGACACTCCAGATTAATCACATCCATAAATAAAACCTAAAACACTTGCTTTCATACTAAAAAAAAAAAATAGAAAGAAACGTTAATGCAAATTACTAATTCTGAAATAACCAGGGTCGTTATTCGATTCAAAAAGCAATTTTTCAAAATTAAAAATATTTTTCAAAAAGCTTTTGAATAGAGCAGTTTATTAGCATTGCAAGCTTCTTTTCACTTGTTCCCTATCACTAGGGTTCCGTGTTTTCGGATAAATCCGAAAAACATTCGCTGGTAAATTTTCTGTCAATTCGGATTTATCCGCAAAAATCAGAATTTCGAGGTCACAGCGTCAAAGAAAACTGCAGAAAAGACGTCGAGGTTCCTTCCGGAAAACATTATTTATTTGTTTCCGAATTTTTAAATTTTACGCAGTAAAATAAACTCAATATTTTAAAGAATTAGGAATCTAACAAAAATAAACTCCGATAAACCCCGAATTCCCAACAAAAAATAAACTCACAAAAACACCCTCCGAATTGCACGAGAAATAAATTCAGAAAAAACGGAATCCTACTTGTCACGTGCCTTCCGTATGCCGCGGCAGTCTTCCTGGGTACGATCATCATCAACACAACTGGTTTGTCTTATCCGTCCAAGTCTAGAGGCAGGGTCAACTGGACACTTTCCCACAAAATTGCTCTTGCTCGTTTTCGGAAAGCATAACACGGTGACATCTCTGTCTATAAATGGGACAACAGCTGCTATGGTGCAGCTGGCCCGCACGAGCAAAGTAGAAGCCCCTGGCGCTGGTCCGATTCCAGTGGCTCGTGTGTGCCAACATCCTCAAGATGCCGACTCCCACACTGTTTTAGTTTTTGCCTCCCTCTTTACTCGCGCCACTCCAATTCTAGTCGTTTCACCCTATGATTGCTCTCTTATAATGATTTCTTGGAACTGTGAGGACACTCCACTGTATTCTTCTGGACAGTATACTCTTATTTATAAACAGCCTACTCGCTCTTCAAGAACAATTAGGAAATTATAACATTCATGTTCGAATCACTGCCATCACTATTGAATTCATATTCGATTCGCTTTCAAAAATCGCTATTTGCACACCCCTAGAGGTGAGTGATAGAAAACTCAAGCCGTCCACATGGCAAACTTTGTTTAGAAAGACTAGCCCTCAAACTTTAGCCTACAAAAAAAAAAAAAAAAAGAAAGAACAGAGAACTATATTTTAAGACCACGGAATGATTGGAAAGAAATACGAAAGCCCTACTAGTAGAAACTTTGCTAGAATGATGGCTAGCAAGATTTGAGGTAGCGCTTGTGGGACCAGGAGCCTGCCGTCGGCACTAAAAAGATGACACAATAGATCTTTTCCCATGGCACATACTGTAATTACACGTAGCATAGGCCGACATCTGCACCAGTAAATTTTTCTTAATTGAAAATCTAAAACACGTAGCATGTGCGTGGCACGTAGCACGTGCGTGGCACTTAGCACGTGCGTCTGTAAACACCTGATTTTCGATATTTACTCTGAATCGTCTATACTGCTAATGGCGTATTCGCACAGCAGACCTTTACTGCCAGAGAAAACCAAGTATGCTATAAAGCTGCAAGGAGGGAACGCCATGAGAAGGGGGGGCAGTTCAGAGAATCGGAGCAAGCATTCACACGACAGAGTCGCATGTGGTTGAGTTGGCAAAGTCTTCTCGCAACATATTTGGAACCTTGGAGGGCTCATCACACGAAAGGCGGGGAAAATAGAAAAGTCGGCAGCTCGATTCTGCCGACCGTAATCCTTCCCCGAAAGGAGGGGGCCCGGTTGTTTTGAAGCGGCAATGGATATTCCGTGAGCCAATCGTGGATTCCCCGTGACTTCACTTGGTTTCGAGGAATCAGGGAACATCCATGACGGGAGCACATGGCTCGAAAGTATAGTATACTAGAATTAGGGGGTAGTGCTGGGGCCAACGCAGCTCTGCAATGGGAGCCTGTGAGGCCGCGCATATCGACAATTTGCGGTGGCGCTGCGGTCCCCTGCACCTGAAAGGGTGTGTGGGGCAATGCGTCAGCCCGCCTAGTTTGGCGGAAATTGCTTTGTGTACTTGAAACACTGTACTCAGTCTGAGTGATTGGTGATACACCAAATTTTTGTGCTGGCACATTCTTTCCCGGTGAGATTTTTGAGGTCCCTACCATTTCGCATACACTGCGGACTCTAGACATTAAAATTTCACATCTGTAGACGTTAAAATTTCATAGTGAAATACTGGTGCAACGCTGGCGGAACTACTGCTGTGCGCCGGGCTGCAGAACAGGCTAATCGCGTGTGAAAGGTGGGTGGAAAGCGTCAATCTTTATCGTTCCCAAGGGCAGAGACGTGAGAGACTCCTTTTTATATGCTTGCAAACACTGTACCAGAGTGACACAAACATTTCGTATTCCCCGCTTGTCACAGCGCCCGGGCCCACCGCACGCCCTTCAGGTGCAGGCGCCGGTGACGACATCTGTAAATATTGATTCAACGCGCCTTGCGGGAGCCACGCCGGTTCCAACACTACCCCCCATTTCTAGTACACTGTACCGATAGCTCCGCGACGATTGGTTCCCTCCTCGGAGAAAAACTCCGTCGTGCAAATACATCACAGGGCAGGCGCGCGGACCTCCGTTTCCGAAGTTCTTGGTGCTCGGGCTATTTGTGAGAGGTGCCTTACCTGAGGTAGATGACTCCCCACATGTAAGTGCGGAACCACATGGTGGTGCCCGAGTTGGCCTGGTACTTGCGGATCAGGATCGGGTGAGGCACCGGCAGCAGCCCCACCAGGGTGCCGTGCTGCAGGAACTTGAGGATCTCGCTCTCGTCCGTCAGGCCCCTGCCGCGGGATGTCCGAGACGCAAGGTTACCAAACGGGTGGACGGAGGATGTCGGCCTAACCCTTCGTATCGGGCGGTAGCCTGCGCCACCTACCCTATTTATTCGAAAATAGGTTGACCCTTTGATAAACACTGCCCAGGCGTGCATTTCCCCGCAACGCATTAGAACAGCCAATCGTTCAGATTTATAGAAGAGGCCCGGCGGATGGTAAGGAACCGAATGAGATGCGTGCAGATCTCGTCTTTTTTAATCCAGATGCTGTCTCTGCTTTGCCATTTGTTGCTACTGTTGTAATTCCTAATGATCGGGTTGTGTGGGCAAGTAGACGTGCGAGTCTGCTCGTAAAAAGGTCGACCTATTTTTGAATAAATACGGTAGCTTAGAAGCATTTTGACCCCGAGGAACATTGCCATACCTTCCAGGACTTTCCAACAAGTATGTTGCAAAAACTGCAATACGTTCTGCATAAAACATTGAGTTGGACTAGTTAGTTGACTATTAGACTAAAGAGTGAAGATGCACAAAAAAGACACAGACAAATGAATGAATATATATAAAAAAAAAGGACTGGTGCCAGCCCTCGTGTACACCGTCCAAAACTTTTGACAAAAATGTGTTCTAATCATGTTGCAAGTGGATTACCAACGACCTTGTCCCAAAAAAACTTTTTATGCTATGCAGCTTATACAGCGTTGTCTAGGCATAGCTTTCAGTGGCTCTAATCCCTTAGTCACACAGGCATCCCTAACCGCAGTTAAAGGGACCACGAAGGCAATTTGGAAGTTTTATTTGACGATTAAAATGTGCGTTGGGCACGTCCCACACACAGTTCACCAAGTTCTAGCCCGAACAGACGTTTCGGCGCCGCACCAATCAATTGAACAGGTGTGGTAATAATCGCGCCGGGAACGAGACGGTGGCAAAAACATGAACTAAAGTGTGCTGCATGACGTCAACACATGACGACAACGGGCTCCTTGTCAGGTGATTGGTTCAAACGAATGACATGTGCCTGGCGTTGCGGCGGTGTCGGGTGAAGAGTCACTCTGGGGCGGCGACTGAGGTGTTGGTGGCCAGCCTGGGGCGCCCTCGTAAATCGCCAATCCAGAGTTTCGCGTCCCGAAAGGCATCTCCTGTTCCGCAGGCGCGAAGTTGCTCAACGGGAACTCAAACTCGTTTGCAAGTACGGCGCTGTTGTCCATTTCTTCCAGGTTGATCAGTCCGATGACAAATAATATGGCCGCTGCTTCCCAGACCACCGTGCACTATAGTCAACCGTGGGAACTGTGCCGAGCGTCCACTAAATCCTACCAAAAACCAACAGTGCTCCTCGACGTCACCTCCCTTTCCAGAGGCAAAACAAGAGAAGAAATCCGAAAGTTTGTTTCGGGTTAGCAAATTTATTCGCAGGCACAGAAATAAAAGTCCCAGAATTCTAGAAAACATTGAGAGGCATGCTAGGACCCCAATGCATCCAAAAATACCTTCTTTTAAAAAATTTTGAAATTGCCTTTGTAGTATTTTCAAGTGTGATTTCAGTCACACTTAAGGGCCGACTTACAAAATACCCCACAAGCTTGGCGCAGTATGGCCATAGTAGCTTTGCGCCATAAAGCCCGTAATCAACAACAACAAAATACCTATCTTTCAACGAGGATGAAAATCCTCCTTGTCACCCTTCCTGTTTCCCCCTCTCCCACTCTCAACTCGGTAGCAAGGGGACTCCTTTTGTTGCTGCATCTTGGGGCTGGATGATCCGAGACAAACTCTCGGCTTATCCAGCCCCAAGATGTGGCCAACAAGATGAGTTCCCCCCCCCCATCAATGTACCAGTAGGCGAGGGGGAAGCGGGAAAGGTGGCGAAAAGGATTTTGAACCCCGGTTGAAAAATGTTTTGCAGGTTGGGCTTTAACCGCGGTTAAGGGCGCCCACGGCACCAAGAGTACAAGCGCCACCGTCTGCACCGCAGTGCACGCAACCAGGGGAAGGACCGGCTCACTTGTCAATGCAGATCTTCTCCACCTGAGGCACCAGGACCTGCAGCAGCCTCATGATGGTCTGCAGGGGCAGCTTCTGCTTCCAGCCCTGCACCCAGTCGCTGGTCGGGAGCCACTCGGAGGACGGGACCCTGCTGCTGACGCTCTTGCTGCGCTGCTGCAGGGGCGGCGGCTTCTGACGAGCGGAGACGGACGACGCTGCCTCGACACCGTCCGAACCCTCCGAGGAAGAAGACGGGCTGCCTCTCCGCGTCGTCTCGGCGATGCTCTGCGGATGGGGGTAGAGGTTCTGATGTGAGGCTGGATAGTCGTATTTCAGTTCTGATAACCCCTGCGCTTCACTACAGTCACGAAGGGAGACTAGAGTTCTTGCTAGGTCAATATCATTTCCAAGCTAGAACTTCAGTTTTCGCGGAGCTTTCTGCTGTGAAAATGGGAAACAATAAGTACATATCAAAATTGTTTAATACTTTTTCCGTTCAAAATATATTGTCATATTTTTAGCTGGTTTAAACCAATGTCTAAAAAGAAAATTGCGTTTGACAAATTAAATAGTATTGTGTTAGAATTCAAGACTCTGCTTTTTCATCAAACGCCCATTTATTTAGCTTCATCCCTACGTATGACATTGCATTGTAAACTTAAGAGTTTCTCTAGAAAAAAAACACTTCACAAAAAGCCACACAAACAGGTGTTTTCCCCGTGGGCAGGAAAGAGTCAACGGCCGGCGCCTGGAGTTTTTTCCGACTGACCTGCTGGGGTGGCTGCCCTTCCGGTGAGAGAGCTTCCAGGCTCTGCGAAGGAGGGTGGGCGTGCTCCTTCTCTGTCATCTTGTCGATGCCTACGCAGAGAAAAGTTCTTCAAGGCCATGCCGGCAGGCTTGCAAAGCCACAAACAGCGCGGTGGGGAGACAAAACACCAAACAGGTGCCAGGAAAGCTTTTTCTTTAATCAAACTGCACTAACTACGACTGTAATTGATATTTGGCATGTTCCCAAAGAAACAATTACAGCGCCTTTTTCACTGCAAAATGAACTATGTATTGCCGAATGTAACACTAGCAGTCTGGACCAGTTGCCAAAATGCAGGACTGACTGTCATCTTATTCAAAATTGATGTGATTTTCTGGAATTTTCGACGGGAAAATGAGGTCCGAAATCGACGCCCATTCATCCCCATGCATTTGTGGGCTTCATTGGCCATTTCCCCATAAAAATCGCTTATAACCTGTGAATGAGACAACGGCTAATTCGGGAACTTTGACATCTGGACTGGACCAGCTAGATTTGGGCGGAGATCGCGCGTTCATCAATACATACTTTATTTTTGCGACAAAAAAAAACAACATACTGTTGAGACCAGTTATAACGAAGTCAGTTATAACGAAATAGCGGCTACAGCGAAGCAATCACGATTTCCCATTCGCTTTTGCACTTCGTTAACCGAAGTCGGTTATAATGAAATGGTGGATATAGCGAAGTGAGTTCTGATTCCCGTTGACTTCGTTATAACCAATCTCAACAGTAGAATTTCTTTTTGAGGGGAAACCCTGTGCTACTACGTTCGTCTTTAAGATAACGGGCCACCGAAGGCTGCAGGGCCTTGTCACGCAGAGCGATCTTGTCTTCTGCTCCCCTACGCAACACATACTGTCTGAATGGAACAAATAAAGAAACAAGCATTAGATAGCCTATGCTGTTTGATTTGAGACGTGTTTTTCTAGAGCGAGCACCCACACTGCGAAGATACGTTTGAAAGCCGTGATTTTGTGTTGTAGTCTTCACTACCCTTTAAGTGTAAAAGTGAACAGAGCATACCCCAATGCACTGTTTACAAGCAAGTGGACTTTGGCCACACCAGTGGGCAGTGTGCAAGCACAAAAGCTAGATTCCTCGGATACGGAGCACACGTGCGTGCGCCGTGCTGTGAGCAGCGCCACCGCTGCGGCATGACGATGACACACGTTGGTCTATAGTGCGGGGTGAGAGCGTTCCAAGGTGGTCCTACCACTCAAGAACATGCACGACAGCACCTCCTCTCGCATCTATCTGCTCGAGTTCCAACCCCTCAGCAGAATACCGGCAACTTGAACTTCTTTGAGAAACAGAAAGGACAGCTGCATAATGGTGTCACTTAGCTCATTAATAATTCCTCTCGGTTTCAGTTGCCTACACGACACATTACTGTTGCAGGGAAACCATTGGATCAATCGGGACATCTGTCGAAAGGGAATTTAGACATTCGCAACTAATTCACACCAATAATCCCAGGTTTCACAAGTTTGCCCCATTAGACCAGATTACAAGAGAAAACAAGCAACCAATGTATTTTCTAGCCATGTACGGATAGGGGATTTTGAGTTCAAAGTGCATAATGGTTTTGGCTGAATATTTTTTAATTGAATATCGAAGTTTCTTTAAGTCTTCCACTATGGTGCACCATACAAAAACTCTGCTGAACTCACAAAGGTTGTTCCCAATCTTCCACTTGTCCAGTTTTAAGCTCAGCTAATTTTAATGCAACTACAGTTAAACCTCGATGTAACGAAGTCGGTAAAATTCACAATTTACTTCGTTACATTGAAATTTCGCTAAATCGAAATTTGGCTTTAGCATGCGAAAAAAAAATTCCGAAACATTTTACGGGTATGAAAACTCACCGAAAATGACATTTATTTTGGGGCAAAGTAGTCCGCGAGTTTTGCTTGCGCCTTGTCCGACAGTAGCAGCGGCGTCATACGGCGTTCGAGCGCCCAGAGCGCTTGCACGGCATCTTGCTGCCAATGCGACGCCGTGTACCTCCTCAGTACGTCCATTGCATCGAGCACTTCCCGAGTGCTCGTGATCTCGGCAGTTTCTTCAGGATGGCGTCCAAAACGTTTGCTTTCTCATCCAAAGAAAGAACTTTACGTTTCCTTATGGCAGCAAGCACGTGAGTGAACCGCCCGGTTGAAAAATAAAGCTGTTTAGTTTAGGCGGTGCCAATGTTTCCAACCTACACAGCACTCTTGACCGCACAGTTTACTCAAGTTTACTTGCCCTGTTGCGCCCCTTGCGCCCACAGTGTGCTTGCGCAAGACGATAATCGGTCTTCTCCTAGATGGCACTGCCCGTGCGGTCGCGCGGTCGCGCCATCACGTCGCTCCCCCACTGAAGTTGGCTCCCGCGCTACCCGCAGTACAGTGGACTATGATGATCAGTGAATGTCAGTGGTGATGCAGTTATGCCGTGTTAACTTTTTGCTCGGCATTTTCTGGCCAGCCCCGCGGAATCCGCTTTGCCGCATGCCTCGCCGGCGCTACCGGCGCCGCATCCTCGGGCAGCCTAGGAACGTTGGAAGGCCTGTCCCCGTGAAGTAACCTATAGAGCGCTCGCGTTTGCGCATAATTTTTTTTTTAACCACAATTTTTTTGCGAAGTTGTTTTTTAGAGTTGATTTATTTATTGCCTTCTATGGCAATGGCGCTTCGTTATATTTAAATAGCAGCAAAATAGACTTCGTTAAATAGAGACTAAAAATACATGGGGTCTATGGGCAAGAAATTATGAAAAATAAAATACTTTGTTAAATCGAGGATTTCGTTACATTGAAGTTCGTTATATCGAGGTTCGACTGTATATAAACGGCAGCGTGTAATAGACAGATTTGTCGCAGCTATCCTATATGAGGGGATTTATAAATCTGCCTGCCATATGCAAATATTTGTCTATTTCACATTTGACAAAAAGAAAACAATAAAAACAAGCATAAATGACGAAGCGGGCTGCCAAGACATCGCTGCCTAATGTAATAAATACCTTTGCATAATTGCGGCGGGGTTAGCTCCGTTAAGTGCACTTCTCACCGAGCACCTGTGCACTGCAGGGAAGCAATATCCGCAAAGCCCGTGAGCTCCACGGGTATTGCTTTCCCGCAGCTAGGAGGTAATCGGTGGGAAGCACACTCATGGGGCTAACTCGCCAAGAACAACACTTCGAAAAGTATGACTACCGCAGTTCACCTCAAAGCGACCATTGAATAGCGCACTATTCGAAACTACTATTTGAAGGTTCTAATATTCGCACAACGCTACTCATTAACAATTCCTGTCAGTTTCCGTTGCTTACATGTCACATTACTGTTGCAGGGAAACCATGGGATCAATCGGGGCATCTGTCGCAATGGAATAAAGATATTTGCGACTATTTCACACTGAAAATTCCAGGTTCCACAAGCTTTCCCCACTAGACCGCATCACAAACGAAAACGAGCAACAAATGTATTTTTGCTCACGGGGCGTAGCAGCCAGGCTGGCATTAAGGGTGGCGCTGAGCCCGCCCTCTGTGCCGGTCGGCGGAGCCTGCTCTGGAAGGGGCGGGGCTTCTTCTCCGGTGGGACTGCAGGGCACGCTGGGTAGGGGAGGGTGCTCTTCGACCGTCGTCCCCGCCCCTCCGGCTCCGGACCCCGTCCCCTCCTGGGTTTTGCTGCGTTTGCTGAGCGAACGCTGGATCGTGCTCTGATCCGTCGGAAGGTTGGCCAGCGAGTGGAACACGTTGCGCTTGCGGATCACCGTGTAGACAAGGTTGGAATTGCCTGGAGTGAGCAGATGTTGCAGCATTGAGGAGCAAGAACTTACCAGCACGATTGAATACCTCCCAACTCCACAATTTTCAAAAAGTAAAAAGTGAAGTAGTAGTACCGTGGGATGCTGCGCAACCCCCCCCTCCCAAATTTAGAGAAATCCCCTCAAAATAGGGTAGGGCTCCGTTGGATACGAGCCGAAACTCGAGATGATGGCAACAAAAGTGGTGGCAGTAAAAAGTAAAATAATGCAGTCTGGGCTGTGCTGTCTTAAAATCTGTCGAAGACCCAAAACGCTCCTCAGAGTCCAATCATCCAGTCACCCAATTTCCTGAAAGACAGTGTATCCACAAAGTGACTTTGAAAGCAGCTAAATTCAACAACCTTACAGGCAAACTTTGGCATCGTTCTCCCAATGCACGACTGTTTGGTTTAGCGGCCAGCCGTTAATAGAATGCGCATTAAGAGGCGACATTACGTTCGGGCGTCAATCTCAAACGTCGAGGACCGGAATGCGACCGATCTCGGGAATGGGGTTACGAATGTCCCCACTGACCGTCAAACTGGTACTGGATGATGTTGTTGAAGATCTCCAGCAGGAAGAACACTAGATGGTGGTTGGTGGCGTTCGAGTACAAGAACCAGGGAGTACTGAAGGCCTGTGGACAATATGGACAATCAAGCACGCTTTTTGTGCCCACCACCCATCAGGCAAAAACATAAGGATGCACTGTTAGACAATAAAGAAAACAATAGTGCAGCCGCTGACCAATTTTTCAGACGCTGATAATTCGAACTTGTTTGATATTGCGGACCCAAAGGAAGAACCCTCACCTACCCGATAGAAATAGTGCATATTCACGACCGACATTTCAGACAGCTTGAAGTCCGAAATTTAAATTTTTCGGACAAAACCGTCACAGGTGATTGACAGGAAACGCCATTGAGAGGTGGCCATTTTGGACTCTACGTTGGCTGCACGTGGATTAACTTGGTTTGGCAGCCCCACTTGAGCACAGCTAAGTCCTACCACAAAGTGACGCTATGCTGCGTCTTTCTCTTTTTTTTCTCTAGCTGCGTGTCGTTATCGTTGTCATTGTTACCCTTTTGCTTTGTTCATTCGCCATTCTGCAGTCGTGAACCTGCACCTCACATCTCGTCTCATTGAATTGTGTTTTCAAACTACGCTCGCTTGGACATCGTGGCCCCACCTGTTCTTCCACCGCCGCAAAGCGTTGCTAAGAGGCGCAGGGATTACTCGACCATAACGCTATAAAAAAAGGCAGCGATTCTCAAGCTAATAAAAAGAAGCCGAACGCAAGCGGAGGCGTAACCTGAAGCAAGGCACTATTAATGGCTTTTTTAAGCCCGCTTGGACGTAATAAAGGCAAGTTTATTAATCTGCTCATTTTCCGGATTGCTATGCTATTCGGACATTTTTTGGGACCCTGCGAAGTAAGAAAAATCGGTCGGCGAATGTATACGCACGGTCAACAATATATACACACAATCAAATTGACATCAAATACATCCTCGGTGATAATGCTCGCAAGTACTATAACCTAGAAAACTGAATGACAATATTATATTTCTCAAGAGATACTAAGAGAAATAACATGGCACAAATGTATTCCAGGGCGCCCAATGAGAAGCTGCTCATATCATGTTGGATCGGCTAATACTAGCGTAAACACAATCATCCCTACGGGAAGGCCAGCATGCCAGGAATTAACGACATACTGTATTTACTCGCATAATGACCGCACCCCCCACAACGGGGCTTCTTTATTAGGACTTCTTTCTTTTTCACGCTTAATGAACACACTTTTAATTTTTGGCTCCGCGAGTCTTGAAGCCAATTTTCTTTTGCCGCCAATTGGCCAGGCCAAGCCAAGCAAAGCCAAGCCAAGCCGCTCTCCTAATGGCTGCAATTGCGTGGTTGCGGAAGTGATCAATTGTGAAACCGAGTGGTGCAGCGAACCTGGGGTTGAGAACTGCCCAGTCTTAGACGACTTGGACTTGACATCAATCATCCATCGGATGCATTGATGTCAACAAGCACGCCGTTGTCTGTGATCCGCTTTCGGACAGTGACATTGTGAAAATGTTAAGGCCTAAGAACGGCTGCGTCGCTCTCTGTGCTGAGTGAGCTTCGTAAGGCGCTTTTTCTGTGGCAAAAGGCACGGCAAAAGCACCCTAAAAAGGTTCGCAATTTATAGAGCATGGTCACCGTGGCGCACCCACGACCAGCCATGAGTGCACCTCAGCCAGTGAAGACCTGCCATGTCATATTGGCACCTAAAATAACATTCGGGCAAAGTGTCTAAATGCAAAAATTTTACCCCGCATAATGAACGCACCCCCCAAATATCTGTCAATCATTCGAAAAACAAGTGTGTTCATTATGTGAGTAAATACGGTATGACCGTTAATACTGACCTATTCAGTCGTTTACCCGCAGCACAGCATGCAAGACAAGACAATTAGGGCGCTATTTTTTAATGTGTGACTTTAAACATTAAAGGCAAGTCCCTCTAAAGTATTGATGGCTACATATTCTTACCGAAGCTGCAAAAAGGCAAATAATGCATTTTTCAACCAAAGAAACGATCGAGGAAAAAAAAAAAAACACAACTTGCCTCGAGTAAATGCAGAAGTTTTGTGCTGGCAACCATGGAAAGCGTCTTCAGATATGGTGAAACTGAAAAATGGCACAAGACCCTTAGCATGAGAATGTAGTCGTAGACACTAAAAAAAAAACAGTAGTATAAAGTGTGTCCCGTATGCACGCTACATGCCTGAAAACCTGGAATGACCAATATATACCAGAACAACTGCTGCTCCAAATTACAAAAAAAGCATCCCTCCCATAGAACCCTCATAATCGGACCACAATACATTTTTGTTCATCGAGCTGAAAAAATCTCCAGAAATAAAATGACGTCATGCCGACAAAGCTTCGTCCGGTTCCCAAAACCTACGGCTAAGTTTGCCGAGTGTAGAGGGCCCGAATTATTCCACAAGCATAAACTTCGGCGATGTTTTTAAAGAAAACTACATTTATTATCTACGGCATCGAGACGTTCGCACTAGCTTAAATTTCGTCGATCAGATTACGTTTAGCGTTCCACCTCTCTTCACGGTAGCGATAACGACCGCCTAGTGCGAGCGCATTGTCAAGATGGACGCCGCTGACTCACCATTGACGATGATGGTGAGAAGGCAGTCAAACAAGGGCTGTAACCTCTGGTGACCGGTAGTCACTATCTTGTGGAACACCTGCAACCGGCCAGAGGCAAAACTCATGCACAATACACACACACACACGCACATAAAAAAAAAAAAAGATTGACAAGACTTACGATGACCAGTAGGTCGGCGTGTGTGCCCGTGAAGACTGGGATGTCCATGGGGACGCTTGCGGTGTACGGCTTGTTGAGGCGGACCCCGAAGTTCCGCTCACCGCTCAGGAGAAGCAGGATGAACACTCCAATGTGCACAAGGCCCACGCGGGCTGAAAAAAAATCGACGGCAACTTCTGGACAGAGTTTTCCGATGCACAAAACTACAATCGTTCTAATGTACATTTGTCTGTTTTGAAAGGCTTGTGATGTTATTTGAACAGGTAAACCTTTTATTCCTATTTAATTTCTTCGTACTTTTTCATTCTTCGCTAGCATTTCGCATCCCGGACTCTGTTTTTAGTAAACTGCAAAGCTCTTGCCGGGCATCTACGCTTCTTGTCTTCAGCCTTCTTCTGCGCATAGTTCGAAGGGGCACCATACATTCTCTTTGTTGATATGGTGAGAGCTGGAGACGCAGAATCGCCACATGCATGTGGCATTTATCACTTCAAATGGCATTGCTACGCCTCGAAAACGGATTGATGTGCGCCGTTGCTAGACAGTGACCGATGGGTAGACGGGCAGAGGACAAATTTCGAAGATTTAGTTCCGTTACAATACATGTCACGCATTAAAAATCAAACGGAAAGTGGCCTGCATCCTGTCCCACACGTGAGCAGATGGTATTCACTCTGCGGTTAATCTTTGTCAGGTTGTCCAGCAGTACACCACAGAAAGTTTAAATTACGGAGATACCTGCGGCAGTGCAATACGTCCAGGCAGATAAGGGAAGGTGAAGCCACGATACGCTGCGCCCACGGCACACCCAGAGCAGAGAAGAGCTTGCCGTCAGGACTTACGAAAAAAAACATCCACGTGGATCTGCAGTCGCTTTCTTATTGTTTTGCAGGGTTTTCTGAGAATTTCGATGTGGTGCGGTGGAGGAGCCGGTAAACGCAAGGCCCCAGCAAGCAGAAGAACTCACATTGATCGGCCCTGGCATCGTTCAGGTGGTAGAGCGTGGGAACCAGGATGTCCAGCACCTCGGAGCTCTTCAACACGTAGAACAGAAATTTCTGGAACAAGGACAGGAGGCCAGCTGGAATGCAAGACTCCCAACTTGGTTCTCAATTCTGCTTCGCGTTTTGACAATCGAATGACTACGAGGGGCGTCCCGAAAGCTCTCGGCCTGACCCGGAACGATGCGACGGAGGTGAATTAACTTATGGTACGTTTTGACATAGTCCCCTTTGAGCTCCACACACTTTGCCTAACAATGCTCCAATGCCTAAACCCCTTCAAAAAGAAAAAAAGAGAGGGAAGTTTGGTTTTTGTTATCTACAATGACGTCATCATCACAAAAAAAGCGAACACTAAAAAATTTTTTTTTTCAGCTTGGGGAAAAGATGGAGGTTAGATGAGCCGAGATCTGGCAAGTACGGAGGATGGTTGATCACAGAGAAGCCACAGGAGTGGATGGCAGCAATCGCCACAGCAGCGCGGTGGGGATGGGGGGCGGGGCATCATCTTAAAGGAATAGCACCCCCTTCCGGAGCATACCGCGACGCTTGGCCTTGATGGCGTCCCGCAGGCGACGAATGGGGGTTGCGCAGTGTTTCCGGTGATGCTAGGCCCTTTCTGACAGTAATCGCTGAGTAGCACGTCTTCCAAATCCCAGAAAACTGTGGCCACCACCTTGCCTGCTGATGGAACGGAATGAGCTTCAGCGGTGGAGAGGAGTTGTGTTTCCACTGTTTGGACCGGGCTTCGCCGTCGGGTAGAAGTGGTGGGCCCACGTTTCGTCCACAGTTAAAAATTGAGCACAGAAGCCTGCGGGATCTTACCTGAGCAGATCGAGAGTGTCCCTGGATGTGGTGTATAGCGAGCACGTTTTTGGTTGCACGAGAGCACTGGAAACCCATCTGGCGCTGACCTTGGGCATGTTAATACATGTTCGGTCAAGATGCAGTGTAATCCGGATTTTTGTTTTGCCATCTGCCATTACCTGATTGTGCACATGGTAAATGTTTTCTTGCGCGGTTACTTCTGCAGGGCTGCCAAGCCAGGGGTCGTCTTCGAGGGTCTCCCATCCCCGAATGAATTGCGCGGCCCACTTTTTAATTGTGCTGTAGGATGGGACACCCTGTGCCTACGTCGCCACCATGTCTTTGTGGATGCCTGCTGGAGTTTGGCTTTTCCGAGACAAATAATTTAATCACCAAACGTGTCTTCATTTTCCCTCTTTTAGCTCGACTGTGCGGGTTGCTGCCTGTTGGCGGCTGCCACAGGAAAACCGTATTGCGCGCATGCACCATTTTTGGTGCTGCGAACCTTAGTACTCATGTGCTCACACGCCCGCGTCAGAACGAGATTTTTTTTGGGACGCCCGTCGCATGCAGCTCTCGACTGAGTAACAACATTAGTGGAGCATTCAAAGTACTATTTTTTGTCTTTTGTAATGTCATTCTTATTAACATAAATTCAAGGTGCCACTCTTTATCAATACAAATCATGTTCTCAAAACATCTTCTGGGTGATCTATTAACCCTGAATTTCACCAGCACCACACATCCATACAACTTGGATGTAAAACATTTCTTTAATCCACCCGATGGACAATTAACCTTCAGCACTGTGCAGCTGCGTTCTAGTGTTTCTGAACGAAACTCAGTATTCTCACCAGTTATAGATCTTACGCACTACAATATACTTGATTTCCTGATACACAATAGGCCTTTATAAGGAACCTTCACTCCCCGGTCGCAATCCAAAACCCAACTGCCCATTTGGTCCATCCTTGTCTTCTTCCCGTCCTGCTTTGTCCCCTTGTGGCCATCTTGGCATGTACAGGTCACGTGCGCCTAGCATTGTCCTTCGCCAGACACTCCCCACAGATCTCCCGCTCTTGAGACCTGGCTTGAGGTACGGTGTCAGATGATCCGCGCGAGTCACGTGCCGGTTTCACCCAGTAACGGGGTCTTTAAGCACAAAGTCGTTAGCACCCAGGCACTGGACCACGTGGAAGGGCCCCGTGCGCCATGGAGCAAGCTTCGCAGTAATGCCCCTGGTTGCATCGCTCAAGGTGTGGGCATCACAATGTCTCTGCAGAGGTCAAGCATACACAGGAAACATTGCCTCTGGGAACCAGCCGCCCACCGGATCTTGCATCGAAGAGATGCAGTGGACTGGGACCAGACTGCTGCCAGTCACAGCGTGCACACATCCCTTCTTTGGCTGGCGCCTGTGGCTTGAGCAGCTGCGATGGTTGGCTGACCCAAGAGACTGACGCTGGAGCTTGTGTCGAACAGTGCCTCGAACGCTGACGACCCAGTCGTAACGTTAAGGAGAGGTTCTTTTCCCTCGGCAGTAGTCGCCACTTGCAGCGCACTGTTGTAGATGCTCATTGGGGCAGCATCGACCAGCATCCACCTCCCGGACACTGTGCTTGAAAATGGCCAGGCTGTTTGCACCTGAAGCAGAGATCTGGACCCGACTGCCAACCCATGGCACAGTTGCGAGCGGAGTGACCGACTCCTCCATATTTCCGGCAGCGGGCGACTCCTTGTTGGCGCTGATGCCACCGAGACATCGGTAGAACAGGATCTGCAACTCCCGAACCTCGCAACCCAACACTTAACTGCTCGTTTGGTCTGTCGCCGTCTTCTTCCCCATCCCATTTGTCCCTTCAGGGCCATCTTGGCCACTACGGGGCACGTGCACCTAGCATAGCCCTTCACCAGACACTCCTCACATCACCATGAAACACTGAATCCTCATCATTTGCATGAGTACACCTCCTTCCCCTCTGTTATATTTCATCAAATTTTCTTTGTTTTCTAGGTTCCCTAAATTCCCACTACAATTCCAGATCGTCCTCCGTGTCTTGGATTGATCGATGACATTTCTTCTCAGAACACTGCCCCCGACAAGCACCTGCTCGTTGTAAACGCGAACTTCCAACGGGGCCGCTTTCCTGCATCTCGGCAGTGCCAACGCAGGCCTCAAACTCGCAAACTTCCCCGCAGGGCACTTGCGACGCGCAACAAAGCCTCAAATGGGTGACCTTTCATACGGCGAAAACGGCACATACAGAAGACGACTACGAAAAGAGGGGGGCAACGCACTGTGCTGCGTGTGTGCTACTTTCTTTCGTGGTCATCTTTTGCGTGCTCCATTCTCCCCACTCAAAAGCACGTTCCACCGACTAGCTCGAAAAGCGTTTCCTACAATTCCAGACAAAGACCCAAACAACTGGCAACAATGATTTTAAGCACCGAGATGACAAAAGTGTCGCCACCCTGAAGTGCAGCTGTATCTCGTGATTCCAGCCCCAGCTTCGTTGTTAACAGGCGAGCTTCCCTGGAACGCAGCTGCGTCACGAGTCAAAGCCCGACGACGCACCCGACCGCGGCCGAGGGGGCTGTTACCTTGTTGTAGTCGCAGAGCTTCCAGAAGAAGACCAGCAGCTCCTGGTGAAAGTGGACCTTCTTGGCCGAGTTGGGCAGGTAGGTCTGCAGCAACGGGTTGTTCAGCAGCCGGGTGAAGCCCCGCAGCACGAAGCCAAAGTCTTCCTCCCGGTGGATGCGCGACAGGTAGTTGATGAACAGGTTCTCCGTGGCCAGGCTATTCTGCACGGGGCATGCACATATGCACGCACAGTTTAAGCGTATGCCTACATGTGCCAGGCAGCGTCGAAGCGGTTGCTCAGCAAGCGAGTGTAAAATATCACCATCCGATTGTGTTTGTTTTCCCCAGTCTGTCTTTCTAAACGCATGGTGATCTGGAGCCATGCAACGTGAACAGGCTTTGAGCTCAAATGTAGATTTTGCATCATCCTGTTATCATTTCATCTGTTATCCGGTCTACCCCCAAAGTTTATCAATTTTCTGCTTCAGCAGTGGTCTCTCTCTAGAGGTAGAAAAAAAAAGAATAGAATGCCTAAAGTTTCTTTTACTGCTTTCCAATGAGGCTTTGTTTGAGACACATAATCAGAGATATGTTTTGTTTATTAGTTGCTTGCTCATTGTGCAAAAATGGTATAATATTTTTTTTTTTTTTTGCAAGAATGTGCTTACAGAGTTGAATTTCTCTACAGTACAAAGTGATAATACCAATACAGTAAAACAAAGTTGTAGCATGCACAAAATTGGAACCAGGACTAAACAAACAGGAGGAGCTACGAAAGCATCCTCAGTAGCATCAGCAAAAGTCAGCCTTACCAGAAGGTGCACTGGCCATCACGGGCGGCGTCTGAACCTCGCCAAACTCACTCGATGACAAAAGAGAAAAGAGCCTACCCAAGTCCTGTCACAAGCAATGCGCCGAGAAACTGAAAAAGACGAGGAAACCAGAGTGCGCACGGACGTCAGAACGCCGAGCACCGGGTGGAATGACCAGTGGGTAGATCTAATGCTAGCTGCCTTTATCTCCACTGCACTCGTAGAATACGATAGAATGCGAAACGTCGTTTCGCATTCAAACACGTTCACGGAGTGCAGTGGAGACAAAGATAGCTAGCTTTAAGTCTATCCACTAGTGATTCCAACCGGAGCTCGGTGTTCTGACGTCCTCTCTTGCCTCCTCCTCTCCCTCCGTTTCTCGGCGCGTATTGGGACCATGCACGGTGTTGCCACGCAAGGTCCCAATACCGGTACAGGCATATCAGTGTATCCGAAGTGGTAACCTAGTGAAGATACCAATCTTTCGTATAATAAAAGTAAACTTTTACTGTACTTCGTTTTAGCTTAATTTTGAGAGACCATGCTCGAAACACTGCAAGCAATGCCGGAGAAAATTTGCATCAATGCAGCGAGCGTAGAGAAAGGGGGTACTGACGGCGTCTTGAAGGCTGTCCCCTGCGGCCAGTCCGCCCTGCGTTGCCGTCCCCGCATGCGAGCGGAAGTCGTGGTCGAGGGTGACGATGAGGAGCTGCAGGCAGACTTCCACCAGGGGCTCCCTGGCGTCCGAGAAGAGCAGGTGGTTGAAGGGCAGGCCGTAGCCCACGGGGTCGTAGCCGCACACCACGTTGAGCAGCGACGTAAACAGCGGCAGCGCGTGCCTGCGCATACAGTTGCGTCATGCGCCCTTACACGATGGAGACATGGCGTAATAGGACAAAGAAACACATCAGAAAGGAGTGGCGCTTCTCGGCCGACCATGGAGAGCTGGGGATTTCTCGAAATGAACCTTTTTTAGGGAACGAGCGCCATCTGGCGAGTTGTCTGAGAACTACAAATGGAGGGCGGCCCAACGTGCCCCTGCCCGTCGGAACACGTGGGAATCGTGCAGTTGCGCCGGTTTTCGTTGCTTTAACGTGAAACATCTTTTGGCTAGGTATTTGGCGTTTCGTGAAGCCCAGATAAAAGCTTGGCCGTGAGGCTTGACACCGATTGGGTGGTGGGTGGGAGAGGAGGAGTGAGGTGCTCGATGCTGATTGGTTAAAAAGGGGGGTAATGTGACCAGAGGGGTGGGCGAGGAGGAGCGCGACCACCTGTGCGCACTGAGGCAGAGGAGCTGGCGAGTATAAAAGGCTCTGGAAGATCGCGAGTTTTATCAGCCCGATGAGCGGTAGTATCGCTTCATTATGGGAACAACTGTCAGGTGTACACACAGCACGTGTTAAACTCTCTGATGAAGAGCTCTGTAAACGTAGGCATCTGGTGCCTGTAAACTCAGGATGTCTCTAAACATTTGTGACGCTAGAATGTTTGATGTATGCAACACAATTGCCTCGCAATTTGCCACCATTTTTTTTATGACCCATAGTACCGATGCTAAAGAAAAAATATTGTCGAAGAAGACGAGATATGCACAAAGTTGGGTGCTAAATATGTTGGTGGTGCGCAACGGTACCTTCTCAAAATGGTGACAGTGGGAAGTAAGGCCAAAGAAGGGGGTGTATGCATGAATGGAAACATACTAAAAAAAAGGTATTTAAAAAAAAAAATTGAGGATCCCTGCTTTACAGAGTAGAGCACTGGTAACAATAAATAAGATGTGAAGAGTGGAAAGATATTGATATTACCACAAGGTTTGCTTGCATCAAATACACACCAAAAGACACCTCTAGGAATAGCAAAAGCATGGCTACAGTAAAGGTTACAACAAGTCGCTGTACACTACAGTACTGAGAAAGCCACATCAAATACTATACCGTAGTAAAATCAATACTAAAACTATATGTTCAGAAGAAAAACAACCAAACCCTCATTTCGGGTAAACTAGTGTATGGTTGAGCGTAGCAGTAACAGAACTGCTCACAGTTAACTGCAGACCAGCTAGTTCTAGTTAGGAAGCTCTCAAACACTGAGCAGTACTGACAGCCTGCATACCTGTTGTCAGCTGATGTGAAGAAGTGAATCCACTTGTTTGGTTGCTGATGAGCCTCTGCAAAACAAAAGCATGGTTACAATTGCAGCTTTGGTTGTTTTTAGTTCAGCAAGGACAAAGCTACAAAAGTGAAGAAACACCTGTCAAGTTTAAGAAGAAAGGCAGCTTTTGCTAAATATACTTTGCATCTCTGAATGTGCTCACCAGAGGAGCTCAGGTACATGGTCTGGCTGAAGCAGGTAAGCAGAAGCTTGAGGAGTTCAGTACGGTTCTGGTCCTGCTGGGGAACGTGCGGTGGCGAGTGTGCAAAGCCCACTCCGGACGCCCAGATGTACTCGCAGCTGTCCAGCGACTGCAGGTCTTCGGGTTTGTCCTGCAAGCAGCATGCCACCTGTCATGCACGCACGTTCAAGCAGAGCATGCGGTTACATATCACCGTCCGAGATTTTGAGACGGTAGTTTAGAGCGTTGGCAAACACATTAGAAAACCTGCACCGCGAAAGACAAACGAAGACAGAAGGAACGCGGGGTGTCGCGAATTTGCCCAGATGCGAGTTTGACCAGGTTTAACTTTTTCTAACTTTTGGTGCGAGGTTCGACCAAAGTTCAATGAAAGTTCCTAGTATCACGTGTACGTGCAGACATCAGAAATGAGCTAGCACCTCCCAGTGGAGGACGGGCGAACCGGAACCGTCATATCCCAAGTCGTCACCCACCCCCTGCCGCCTGAAATTCATAAAAAATGTTGGGTAGGCCATGTATCGGTCGGTAAGCACAAAATTTTAGAAAAAGTTAAAAAGAATCCTCATTTTTCTGTATCTAGCGTGGCTGTTCAAGAAATAGATAACACTCAATACTCTCATTCGTTTCATTGTTTTATGCAAGAAATGCTCATGAAGAATGTTTTACTATCGCAAAGTCCGTTGCTTGCATCCGCACAATGAACGCCACCGAATGGCATACACAGCAAACATTTGTTCTGTGAAAGCACATTTCTAACACCGGTATGTTCTCTTTGTTAGCAAAAAATAAAATAAAAAAAGTCAACAAGAAAACAGAAAAAAAACTATCATGTACAATGAGCGAGCGAGCGAAAGAAGTGACGAGGAGCAATGCTGGGAAGTTTGGAGGTTTGCCGATTGAGTCAACAAAGATTTGGAACATCTGTCCGTGTCCGTCCATGGCGCTGGACGTTCTTTAAAGGACCAGTGCAACGATATTCAATTGGAATGTTTTTCACTCTACATGAGCTTACTGGCACACCTGGGACTCAAGGATACCCACACGCAACGCCACTGGCCAAGAAACTCCTTTGTTGCGGTGTAATTTCAAGGACGAAAGCGATCATTTTCATTCAATCTCTCCTTTGCAAAATTTGATGACGTAACGTGGGGATCGCAGTACACCCAAGTGACGATATTTGAATGCGGTTCATAGATTGGACCCGAGCATTGCGTGGGCACTCGACTTGGGCTCGTGATAATTGCTAGCTCGAAAAGCATTCGGGTAGTGACCCGTGTCCAATCGCTGCAACGACGACAACAGCCGAGCCATAACAATGTCTGGAACTCAGCGCGTGTCCTGCGCTTTGCCAACCCCAGCGCGTGGCTATGACCAACACTGGCGGCATATAATCGGCTCCAGATCACGTGGCCGCTTGTTCTGGCTGTGAGTTGAGGGGGTGAACGCTGCTCGTTTTTCTTAAATTTTTTTCTGGGACTTCTATTGTGTGGGGTGAAGAACGAACGCGTGTTTCATAGGTCATTAACGTTAGGGATCCGTTTTAAGTGGTATTTGCGCAAAGTACAAAAATTGTTGCATCGCTCCTTTAAATACCTAGCCGACTTGTTCAAGCCTCTACAAGCCGTACAAAACAATTTCTTCAGTTTCGTTAAACACCATTTAGGATAAGTCTATGGTGTTCGCAATATATATGCAACCCTCACTAGTTTTCTTTTCACGACCATTAGTCCCTGCAGAAGGAATCCAAAAAAATTAAGCAACAATAACTTTCTCAATGTGTGGCTCACCAATTACTGGATGCACAATGTTAGTGGATGCACAACGTTAAGGCTCAGCGGTTATCGCCGTAACTGAGAGCAAGCTTTAGATTTATAGATATGCCATTTTTCATTTCGTCTGCACCCTACAATAACGCCCCAAAAAGGATGCCTAGGTATCCGTACAAATAAAATATACAAGTTCAATACATAGGACTCCTTTACTATACTGCCCATAAAATCAACACTGGGAAAATTAAATCAGAATCACTTCATTGCATCTACTGTTTCATTATACGCTGTCTCACAGCCTCAGGGAAGACAGCATCCCTTATTCTCTTTTCTTTAGCGTTGCACAAGTTTTCAAGGGGGGTGCAACGATTTCTGGACTTCGGTCAAACATTTGCGGAAGCTGCCCTTCGACACCTCTAAAGAAAAGAAGAAAACACCGATTTCACCTGCGTGCCCTAGTTGTTGTGTAAAAAAGAAAAAAAGATAAATATTGGCATTTCGGGCAGTCTCAACTCACTCCCAGCCTTCAGGGTCACACCTGGTCCCCCTCCTAGTGACGTAATTTGGGGTGCTGTGTAGCTTCCCGTGTGCTCTCTCAGAGGACGCTTCCTCTCCCTCTCTGCTGACATTAGCGGGCGTTATGCTGCAGCTTAGAGCCAAGCGAGGTCACGTAAGCTTTTCGCCGTAGTTCCTTCGGCTGCCACTTGGGGCTGCAGGTGGGGGAAGAAGCTTGACTTTTGCTTTGCGATTACGCAGCGGAATCGCAACATTTTTTAATGAAGGAGATGTTTTCTGTATCCTCCGGGACACGATAAACACCGTAAAAATGACGAGATGCAAATTCTTTTAATCTTAAAATCGTTGCACCCCCCCCTTTAAGATGAAGAGAAATAAATAAACAAGGATGAATCGCTTACCGGACCAGCCTTTCTTGAGGGAGACACGGTGAAATCCGGACAGAACAGCAAATCCTGAAACCAGCATCCCAACACAAAAATAAGAACTGTTTTCTAGAGTTTCAGCCTCGCAGGTGCTCTTCGACTTGCCCACCGCAACGTGCAGGAATACAAAGACAAAGGCAGCACGTTGTGTTTGAAGCCTACCGTCCAATCCCGAAAGATGTCCCAGTCCCGAAAGATAAAACTCATCCATAATCTTTGCTCGATTTGCTATTTCCTTTTGAACACCGAAAGATAGCCCACTCTAGTAATCAAGGTGTTCGGATCAATGATGACCTCGGCGTAAATGCGTCTAGTGGCGGGATTTAATTGAAACATAGCTGACTGTGAAGTACAGTCATCTTTGCTTCATTCACAAGTTTGGAAGGGACATATGATCTAAAAATAGCATTTTTTCAACTTTTCTTGATTGCAAGCCGAAAGTTAGCCCACTCCTTATTTCCACTCAATTTGCCCTCGATCTTAAGTGGGCTACCTCTGGGAATATTATGGTAGATGTCTAAACTCGAAATGCCAATCTGAATCTGATTCTAAAAGGCAAATTAGTCAAGAACACTATTCAACTTTCAAATAAACTGCCGAAAAAAGAAAAAAAAAAAAGCATGGAATGCAATTAACGTCCTATTTTCAAAAGTTCTCGAGAAACATAGAGTCCAAATCAAATATTATTTATTACGAGTTAAGGGGCTACAGTTAGATAGAAACTTAGTGGTTTGACATATGATACGAACAATAGACAAGCATTAAGAAAACACAACAAGAACGTGAAATCACAAAGCATCTACTCACGCAGAGAGCAGTGATGAGGGACTGTGCAAGTGATAGATTTTCCGCCTGTAAGATAACAAAAAAAATGAAAGTGACAGAGCGAAATTTCGTGTGTATGATTTTTCTCAGAACAGGCAAAACAATAAAAAGAAACTGGTTCTATTGCAATTCGTCTACCAACTGACTAAACAACAACATCCAGAGCAATGATTATTTACAATAAAGTACCAAGCTTCACACTCATTATTTGACCACCTCCCACCATCTAGACATAATAACATGAAGAACCATGTTTTAGTTTATAAACAAATAAGCTAAGCACCAGTCGTAAAAATTTTTGCCTTAATCTTTTAATTCAACTGTACATGCTGACATACTGAAACAAGTGTTCACTGACTAATATAACAGCGCCCTGGAGAGTTGCAATTCATTAAGCAAAGCCAATACCATTACTCCATCCATAAATTAAATTAAAAAAAAAAAAAGAAACAGATCCCACAAGTGTTGTCGTTAGCAAGAGGCCCCGCCCACCTGCGAGTCCTGTTCATCCTGATTGGCTCCTTGTCCAGGCAGGCTGGACCAGAAGAATCCCCTCCAATCAGAGTCCTCGAAGATATAGGGCAGCAGACGAGTCAGCAGACGCACGCAGTTCAGCACTGAAACGACCGCCAATCCGAACTCGCACGATCAACAATCAAAGCTATGTTAGCCAAGAAAACGCGAGAATGTTAGTTAACAAACTTTTTTCTTTTAACTACATAATGTCTAAAGAGACAAAGAAACAAATTTTTTCGCTTTGGTTTGCTAGTTCTCAGGATAAACACTTCATGATCATAAGGCAAAAAACACGAATAAACTTATATTCACACGCACTGGTTTTAGCAGAAAGTACACCCGCCGGCAATACGGCTCCCTAAAGCTATATTAACTTTCAACGTCTCAAATGGCATGCGGCTTGGGGGTCTAAACTTTGCGTTCTAGCCCTCTTCTGGAACAGGGCTTGTTCCAAAACTTGCAGGAGCATCAAAAACAAGAAGAGGGCTGTTTACCTTCATATTGCTCACGGGTGTACATACTAAGGCCCAGATCGCTTTCCCACATTAACTTCCTTCCTCTCAACATGTAATGCAGCTAGAAAGTTCCTACAGCGGCTATCGCTGCGAAAGCGGTGGCTGTCTTCGTGCGAGTGAAGAGAATACCCTGGCTGAATTACGAACAGGATGTCTGTCAGGAGCTCAGACTGAGGAACTTAAAGGTATGGGAAGTTTTCAGGGTTTTTCCTTCAGAATTGCACAGCTGCAATACCGTATTTCCCAGACTGCAGTCTGCAGAATTTACACGTTTAAAAGTTGATATTTTGCACGGTGTGGATTTTCTATTGGCGCCCACTGTACAAGGATTTGTTTTTCCAAGATTGTTCATTATGACGGGATGTCGTAGATTCTGTGAACGACAGGCCATGTTACCAACGATTTCTGTATGATACAAGTGTCTTTATGTGCTAACAAAGCAGGCACTTTTCTATGTTCGCTGTGCGTACAAATTTTATACGGAAACTGTACGCAGGGTGCAAACTAGCCGAGGAAAAACTTTTTCTTTTGCAGCTGAAGTCTGTTTTCACGGATTATATGCCGGCTGCAGAATAGAGTTCAGAAGATATGGCACTTAGCTCGGCATAACAAATTAAAAAAATGAGCGTTAACTGTTTAGAGACACGCAGCAGATTAATGGGAAATATGGTGGTGCACCATACTCACCGGTCTGTTGCTGCGCGGCGGTGTTGCAGAGCGAGTCGGCGGCGCGTACCAGGCGCTCGACGGCCTTGTAGCACAGGGTGGCCAGATTGGAGGGCGCCTCCTCTCGCAGGGAACGGATCTCGGCGGCAGGGATCAGTGCAAACACATCCTGGGCCCCCTGCACCCCCTCGCTCCAGAACTGCTCCCAGAACGCCTCGTCCTTGGCATCGATCGGCTGCAGGCATGGAGTTCACGGAATCTCGAAATTACCACCTGCTCACGTTTTCGAATGAACTAGCCCCAGGTGCACCCGACGTAACGACAAAGTCTGGGTTCGAGCAAGATCTCAAAATATCTCTCTTTTTGGCCCTTTTCCACTGTATTCCAGTACTGTGTCTTATTCTGTGCCCATTCCAATAACCGAGTGTGCTGCCAATCAAGCCCAGCGTGGCCTCGCCAGGCCCGTAATTAATAATTGTGTTGCAGGTAAGCCAGAGCAGTAATGCTGCTAGTCTGAAAAGCCTTCAACTTGCACCATGCAGTAGTGATAAAAGACCACACGCCGGTACGACGCTCGACCAGACCGAGACGGGTAAGGGTGGGAACTGAAGCCAGAACCTTTGGGTTCTACAGTGCGAGCTTTCAAGCCATGTTCTCCGAGATGTAGTGCGTTAACACTCTTGGGCACCGACGAACCTCGCAGGCTTGTCACTGTATATGTTTCTTTGCAAGCAATACTGATTGATAATAAATTTCGAGAAAAGGGTCTGTCATGTTCACAAGCACTTTAACGCTTAATTAAAGGGATGCTGAACCGAAATCTGGATCCCACAAAACACGGCGGCAGAAGCGTGCAACGGGATGCTACAAACACAAAAACATCACTCATACAGCGATATCTCGAACGGATGACCATATTTTTCAAAAAAAGGAGGCGCATTTAAGACATATGTTCACGTCTTGTTTCTTCAAGAAGGAGAGGGAACGGCTTCGCGTCTTCTCTGCCTCGCCACCTTGGGGGGGCAAAGCGAAGAGAGGAAGAAACAAAATATCTTGACGCCACGCGCCTCGTCGGCCTTGTTCAATCTCGACACTTTTTCCAAAAATATGGCCATTCATTCGAGATATCGCCTTATTAATAGTGTTGTAGGGATTGTGGCGTCCCGCCTACATCACCTGCAGTGTTTTTTTTTTTAATTTCGGTTCACCATCCCTTTAATAAGCTTGAATAGGGGATATGATGACGTCAATTTTGTTGCGTGTGCTCGCGCACACCTGCGGCTGCTGACTCATGGAAAGATTGTGCGCCACTTAATATAAACACTGAAACGTTTGGTTCAGCATCCCTTTAAAGGGCCCCTGAAAAGACAAAAAATGTATTTTTTAACGGTCTACCATAAGCTACCGCGCATCCGCCCAGTCCACATTAAGCGCCCATTCCCAAATTTGTAAGAAAATATGCACAGTACATTGATATGTAAAATTGATGGACGGACAAGCGCCCATCCCCCATTTACGCGATTATCTCTAAATTTTTAGTAGGCATTTGCCCTGTATTTTACAATAGTTGGAACACACGTGTCAAATAAAAAATTTATGTGAAAAAAATTTTTTTTTCAGAGCAACAATGATGGCGTGAGACACGAATTAGTGGGCAGTCATCTCCTCCTCCACTTGTTTTCTCTCTCGGCATTTCAGGCGCGTGGAGAAGAGGTGGATCGGCTTCGCCTTCACGGCCGAGATGGTCATTTCGGAATGACCCGTGACATCATGAACTTCGTGCGCAGAATTTCGAATAAATCTCTTGCCGCCAATATTGCTCTAAAAATTTTTTTTTTTTCGTGTGAGCTAATTTTTTTGACACGCGTGTCGCAACCAGGCTGTTTAAAAAAAGCTTTTTTTTTCTTCTTTTCGGTTCCTTTTGAGGGTTAATGGAGCATAGAGGCAGACATTGGTGGTCCCAGGGGGCACAGACTGCTGGCTAGACTTTAATGACACAAAGCAGCAGCAAAAGAATCTCTTGCAAAGTTGGCACCTGGTATTTTTGTAACTTCATTGTGCATGAAACGAAAGGTGTACAGGTGTCGGGCATCGTATAAAGAGAAACTGAAGTTGGCAAGCAATTCAAGAACTCCAGTGCGTTCCGGCAAAACGAATATGCCTAACGCATCGTCTGCTTTCTTCTTCCGCTTTTCTGCGGCTTGAAACGAAAGGTGTACAGGTGTCGGGCATCGTATAAAGAGAAACTGAAGTTGGCAAGCAATTCAAGAACTCCAGTGCGTTCCGGCAAAACGAATATGCCTAACGCATCGTCTGCTTTCTTCTTCCGCTTTTCTGCGGCTTGAAACGAAAGGTGTACAGGTGTCGGGCATCGTATAAAGAGAAACTGAAGTTGGCAAGCAATTCAAGAACTCCAGTGCGTTCCGGCAAAACGAATATGCCTAACGCATCGTCTGCTTTCTTCTTCCGCTTTTCTGCGTCTCTCTTTCTTGTCACTTCTCTCGACAACGCCAAGCTGTAAGCACCGATGCTTACAATTTTCCATGCTCCACTCCTCTCCTTACCACACAGCTGTGGGGAGTGGAGCTGCCAAAGAGTCAGATTTGCCACATGAATGTCTAGACAGTGGAAAGTTGGACTGCTTTAGCATGCGCCTAGTCTTTACGGGGGCGGAAACATGAACTAACACAACTCAATGCAGGTCGGAGCGATACCAACTTCGCATGGCGTGTCTCCTGCTGTGGTAAGATGTTAGAAGCGAGGTTAGAACGAACCACAGTAATTACATGTACCGTGAATAGATGAGCTGTGCATCCGCTGCGAAATCACTCTACGTGTCGAAACAGTTGCTAGCGTTCAATTGTCGTCTCAGAAACCGGTACGCCATTTATTGCCTTTTCCTTTTTCTTTGGGGTAACATAAATGTGGTTTTCTTATTTGTTCTTCTGTAAATTGTCAGCCTGTGTATATACTGATTCTTTTTTCTCTAAGTAAAAGGCAAACCTATGAGTTTTTGTTTATTTTCTCGGACGACCGTTTTCTATTACGTCACTCAAGTGTAAGCAAACAAACCTGCATAAACTAAACAAAAACAGGACAAAAAGTTCTTTCACTAAAACCTTTTGTCGGGTGCCATCAAGACAAACACTCCATGAGACAGCATCTGATGTTAAATAAAATAACTATACCCGTTTTCACCTCAAGAAAAAAATAAGTTTTGCACACTGTTCATACGTGGCGCGAAGTAGTTCTCACAAGATTTGCTTGTCGAAGAAAGAAGCGATGCTTTTGGCGATGCTTTTGGCGTTTGAAACGTGTAGGTCTTGATAAGATAACAAATATCTAATCTAAAATGAAAATGCATATATCTTATTTCTACGCATAAAGAAGTAGTAATGCTCCGGCAAGGCAGCGGACTTTTTTTACTTCGGTTCTTGAGGTGAAAACAGGTATAGATAACAACAGATTTGTGTGGTTTGCACTGTGTGGATTACTAGTGCGATCCCAACTTCAAAAAGATCACATTATTGGGAGGAGTACAGACGAAATTGCCGGGCGATTGCTGGAAGCCTACCCAACAACGGAGGAGGGTGAAGGTACCCGACAAACATCTCTTCGTCCACACACAAAAAAAGATTGCATTCTTGGGCACATGCTGAATATGTAGTGACACAAGTGTTTGCTTCGTTGGAAATTTTCCAACAAATGTTTAGGTGCGAGTTCGGCATTGTCTACCACTCTTCGCTTGCTTTTGTCTTTTCTGAGTGTTGTGTACACTTAATTTAAGCAGGAGCCTTCAACTGACCCCTGCCCCCGTTTTAAAGAAAACTAAACAACATTAAACTGAATTAACCCCATTCATATTTGATGTGAATTAAAGTCAATTTACTACACCCAGTGCTGGACGTCTTTACTTAAAAAAAATAATAGGAGACACTCACTGGCGCATACATACACCTAATTACAATGACTGAACATTTGAGTGGGCAGCAAGATTAATGATCGATGCACGTAGCTCGACCATACTTTGTTCACCCCTAAGCTGACAGTGCAACGGAAGCTAAGTGCCCGTTGGACCAATCATGCCCCACGTGATCAGGCTCCCACTTATACTCACACGCAGAAAACATGGTCAGGTGATGAAAAGGAGGCGGCTGATTGGTCTGGCAAGTGCGTAGCCCTTCCTTCCTTCCTTCCTTCCTTCCTTCCTTCCTTCCTTCCCCCCTCCCCCCCCCCCCCCTGCACTGTCAGTTCGGGGGTGAGTAGAATCTAATAAAAATGTGTTACAATAAAAAAAAACAAAAAAACAATGTGGAACACACAAGCACAAATTCAAGACAAAGCAGAGCCCGTTTACTCTTCAATAAACAGAGAGCACCGTCTGTTTACTAATGAGTTAAAGAATATATGAGGTTAACTTATTTCTTATTTTGAATCTTTTGCGTGAATTAGATATTCTACCAGCAGAGATATCTCTCTTTCAGATTGGAATTCCTTCTAGACAAGTGGCTGTACAGAAATCTCTATATATAAAAAAAAAAATAAAAACATTGTAACTCTTTTTACAAGCGGTTGTAAAAAAAAAAAAAAAGCAGCAACCTTGGCTCTATTCTTCGCAGATGTTTAAATCACCCAGCTGTTACCGAAGCGGAGACTTTGCAGTGATGAAACATGGCCCCTACGAGAACCGCGCGCAGATGATGGACCTTTGACCTAACAACGAGCGTATCACTTCGGCTTTGGACACTGACATCTGCTGTAAAACTCGTTTAAAGGCCGACGTACAACCTCGGTTTTCTGCAGGGAAGATAATCCTGTTAACGCTCCCCTCTCCTAATCTGCGAGGGGAGCCAAGTTGGGACAAGCTTAAAAGTGGAGAGGATATAGGATAGGAGGGGGAGGGCAAAAGTGGAAAGCGCAAAGTGTACGTCGGCCTTTAAAGGGCGGAGCGGGAACGTACCGCATTTTATGGGCCACAGTCCGCAACCTACACATCCCCTACTTTCTTACAACGCTACTGCTACTACACGAAAGCTGAAATTTTACGCAGTGCGGAATTTTCTACAGGTGAGAACTAGAAAAGGATTTCTGTTTTCTATATTGTTCATTATGTCGGAACGTGACGGTTTCTGTGAATGGCAGGGTATGTTAATGATTTATGCACGATACAAACTTTTTGGGGGGCTAATTAAAGAAGACATTTGTCAAATTCATCTGTGTACGAGAATTTCGTACGAGCGGATTAGGTGCGAGGTACGAAGTACGGACTGTCTAAGGAATACCTTTTCTTTTTTCAATCGAATTTCGTTTCTGCGCACAACACCGGGCACGGGCTGTAGCCCTCAAAATAGGGTACTTAAATTCGAGGGACTAGTATGAATAAGTGAAAAGGTAATGAAGAAAAAAAAAATAGACAAAATCGCCCGTTATCAGTGCGGGAACCCATTTAAGGGGGGGGGGGGGGGGGGGGGGGGGGGGGAGTACGCAGATGAAACATTCAAACCTGTTAAATCCAAACTTTTCGTAGATCTTTACAAAAATAAATTAAATGAAGAATATCGTTTAAGATCCCAAATCTACACATGTTCACACGGTTCATTTAGCGACGTTTCCGGTAAAGGGGCCGGTTTCGGCGGCCTGTCGAAGATCCTCGTTTTTGTACCGAGCACAACTTGTTCAGGTTATCGCCGATCGTATATCCGAAAGTAAATAAGATAAATAGCACGCATGCATGACGCCCAGCCCACGTTCCGAAGACGTGGGTGTCGGCGGGGCGCACGAAAACAGGGCTGCCGTGGCATATGCCAGGGAAATCTTAGGTTCACGCACCTGTGTTTTCGTGGTGAGTTGGATGACCGCCTTTCGGAAGTTTAGCTTGGAGTCTGCGTTCCCCATGGCTTCCGGCTGTGATCGTCGCAAGTGCTAGACAGCTGTGAGCATCTCGTGATCCGCCGAGCGAGAAACAAAAACGAGTATTTCAGCTAGAAAAACCGAGCTGGTTACGAAAACATTTCCACAAGATACACACGGCACCCAGCAGAGAGAAGCCGACCATCGACTGCCCAGTGTCGTTTACCACGTTTCCTGTTTTCGCTGCTCTTCTGGCTCTTCTTCGTCAAAAAAAAAATGAAACATACGGTTAGGCCTACGCACGCTTATGCTCGATTTAACTAATGAATTAAAACTATATAAGCTCAAATATAAAATTATATTACAATTAGTTTTGAAAGTGTAAGGCATTTAAACATATAGTAGTAAAGGTGAAGGAAAGCGGCATTTCTGCTGAGCAAATCCAACAACACTGCAGCGGTATCTACGACAGCGCCCTCTTTTCAGCTTGTCTTTCAAGCCTCATACGGTGAGTTTCCACGTGTGCGCCTAACATTTGCTTAGGAAATATAATTTGGGTCCTCCTAACGTAAGATTAGTAGCATAATTAATCGCGAACTGACCAGCCTAAAATCTGCTGCGCAGTTCGTTCCTAGTCTAGGAATTTTTCGAGGATTGACTCTTGAGCCGCGTTTAGGCCTAGTGCACCAGTCACCGGTGTGGTTGGATTTTAGATCCCGTTTTGGACGAAGATCATTCATTTGTACGCAGCATTTGACGAGAACTTCCTCCCAAGGTTGTTTGGTTCAATGTGACCGTACGAGTACAAGCATAGCTACTGAAAAATATACTTTGTGGTGGGTTTGAAAAGCCCGTGAATATGCCTTAATCTGTAGCACATGACAACGGCATCGGGGCAACACCAAGATCCTGACCAGAGTGCACACTATTCGGTAATACAGGATTGAATAACTCTGAGTGCGTAAAATAACAACGAAAGAAAAACGTTTAGTTAAAGAAAGTGGCGAAATTGCGACGGACCCCTTTCGGGGTGCTGAATTTGACTCGGAAGCAAGCAATGCCAGTTATGGCTTTGGTGCTTTGTCGCAGCTGTGTCGTGATCCAGCCAATTAATAAAGCGGTTTCACATATTGTCACCGAACGTCGGTGCTAGTACGTTATCCGGTCCTCCCCTCAACAACGTGTTCGAACATGCCCGCAGCGTCCGGCAGCATGGCGGAACAGAACGAGCGAGCCTTCCAGAAGCAGCCCACGGTCTTCCTGAACCGCAAGCCCACCTTGCCGAAAGGGAACCCCAAGCGCGTGCTGCGCTACCACAAGAACGTCGGCCTGGGCTTCAAGACCCCCCGCGACGCTAGCCACGGCACCTACATCGACAAGAAGTGCCCTTTCACAGGTGGTTTGGACTACCTGCTCCTTTGAAGGCAGCTATTCCCACAGCTTACCTACGAACCGGGAAATGTCAGGGAATTTCAAAGAAAACATCGATAAAACTCTGGGAAATCTTCAGGAAATTAGGTTGGCGAAAATTGCCGATGTGGGCAGCGTAGGGATGTGCAACAAAGGGGTAAGGTGTGGCGTGCGGTGCCTGAATGGCATTCACGCACAGCAACATGCAAGGGAGCGAAGTGAATGCGGCATTGCTATGCCCCATTCACTTTACCAAGGCATCACTATGCCGCATAAGTAAGCCATCCGTTTTTTGAGTGAAACCCATTAGTTCCTGATACAGTCAAACCTCGATGTAACAAACTTCTATGTAATGAAACCCCCGATGTTACGAAGTGCATAACCCTTTCTAGTCTCAAGTGTATGCACGCCATGCATTTTTTACCTCTACGCGACGAAGTCTCGTTTGCCGAAATTTCGATGTAACAAAGTTTCATGGACAATTCGGCAAAAACTTTTGGGAAGCGCACACGCTGCAACAGGCCCCTGATAAAACGCAAAGGGTTAAACGGGGTGAATGTGGTGAGTGTGATGCACAGAACGGCCACTAGAGGACACTAGAGCCGCCACCCTTTCGTCCGTCTGCTTTGTTCGCGCTGCATAGTTCGTTTCGAGGCCTAACTGAAAGTGTGCATTTCTCGTCCTGGGCAATGGAGCCACCCCTGACAACGTCGACCTCGACGACTTTCTATACGCTGACTCTGCTATTATTGAGACTGAGAAAGGTGTCCGATGAGGCGATAGCTAGCGATGTTCGTGGGAACTAAGACGCGAACGACATCGAGCCTGATGAGCAAGACACCTGCGATGTGCCCAGTAACTGTGAAGTGGTGGACGCAATCTTATGTCTTGAGGCCGTTCGCGAGCACACAGCAAGACAGACTCAATGCAAACTGTGGCTCTGCGAACGTCGAGTGCAAACTGTGGCTCTGCGAACGTCGAGTGATGCCAATATTAATGTCAAGAATGGCCCACAAAAAGATGACGGACTACTTTCAAGCGGAATAAAGGCATCCTCGGTGAGTTTTGTGCACCCGAGAAACATTTGTGGAAACTTTCTTTAACGTTTGCCCCTAATTTCTATGTAGCGAAATTTCAATGTAACGAAGTAAATTCAGAATTTTACCGACTTCGTTACATTGAGACTTGACTGTATTTACAGCCCAAGCAAGCTTTCAATGCAAAAGCATCAACTGTACCATGAAGTGAACCAATGTCATAATCTTTTGGAGCCACGCCAAACGGCACCTTCTCGTGTCCCAGTGGAGCTCTCGCGTCCCAGAGGAGTCTGTAGCAGAAATTTGATGGATAGGCTCCCATTGGCCTTTACTCGGCGTATTTCCAAGGAACGCCACCAGAGAAGCCCTCTCCATGGCGGCGCTGCGGCCCAGCCGCCGGTAAGAGAAGGCGGCTGGCCGCGGAGCCTGCAGAGCCCGCAAGGGCAGATTCCGGAGTGGCTGCACGGCCGAGCTCAGTGCGGCGCAGCCACTTCACGAGAATGCACACTCGGCCGTCGTGCGGGCGCAAGCGGTTTGCGATTTGTACCGTCTCGGGTGGCAAGAGGACGAGGTCCTTCGACAATGCGAGGCGGAAGCAACATGTCGCAGGCGGCATGCTTTCGCATTCACAACTCAGAACGGGTGCTTAGGTGTCCTCAGACTTTTTTTTGTGAAAATCCGGGTAAACCAGTGTTTTTTTTTTTTTCTGAATTTGGACATTTGAATTTCACTATTTGGCAAATTAGTCTGCTCCGAAAATATTTTCTTGGAAACGTAGTGTTGGTAAAAACGTGTGCGCTAGCTCCAGAGCTCTGAAATGAACCTAGATTCTATTGGCACCAGTGAACTGCAGAGATCGAACCCTGTGCACTTTTCTTTAATTGCTTGATCGTAAAAAAAAACCCCAAAATTCAATAATTGAAGCTAATCGGTGCTCTTTATTCTTAATTACACTGGTATATTTCTAAATATTACCCCAGAAATCTAACATCTCCTCGATCACCAGCTTGAAACAAAGTGCACGAGTTTTTAAATACATAAAAACAATAACGATGGAGCCTGCACATGAGCCACCACGGTCGCCGGTACCCATCCTCTGCAATATTCCCTTTTGTAACGGTTGGCGAATTTAATTTGAGTATTTGAGGAAATCTTGGTGAAATTGGGGTATTTCAGAGAAGCAATTTTGTAGACATCCTGACCCTAAAACTGCCTACGTGGTAAGGCAGTGGTGCTGCACTTTTTATGTCGCATAGGAAAGGACAGTGTTAGGAACACACGGGACGCGAGAGTTGCATCAGTGTTCAGGGATGATTAGTGATGTACAGCTAGCTGCCTTTGTGTCTACGCACTCTTTGGATGCGTTTGAACGCTAGGCACCGTCACTCGAACTTGTGTAGCATTCTTGTGTGATGAGCAATGTCCTGTTTTTGCAACCTGTGGAAGTCTGCATCAGTAACTGACCAGGAGGTTTCCCCCGACAGGCAATGTGAGCATTCGCGGCCGCATCCTGCGGGGAGTGGTGATCAAGATGAAGATGCAGCGCACCATAGTGATCCGGCGGGACTACCTGCACTACGTGCGCAAGTACAACCGTTTCGAGAAGCGGCACCGCAACATGTCGGTGCACCTGTCGCCTGCCTTCCGAGACGTGGCCATCGGAGACGTGGTGACCGTGGGGGAGTGCCGGCCCCTCAGCAAGACCGTGCGCTTCAACGTGCTCAAGGTCACCAAGGCGGCAGGCTCCAAGAAGCAGTTCTTGAAAATGTGACTCAATAAAAGGGGCTAACTTTCGCTGCTCTGGTTCTGTCGTCCCTTTGGCTATTGTGCCTGTAACTTGTCTCGTAGAGCCACTAAACGGACTATTCTTCGAAGATGTGACACTTTAGACCAGTTTGTTGCTTAATACCATTGTTGCCAGTAATTTTAAGCTTTATCTGAAATTGCAGGGAACAGTTCTCTGCCCTCCAGGAGCATTAAAACAGCCTGCGACTCTGACACTAAGGCTGCATTCACACTGGTGTTCGAATCGCAACTGCGAAGTGATTCCGCTCGTTTTCGCTCGTTTTTTTCAACTGCGCGTGATTTTGTACTGCCTCTTTAGGCAACCGCGTTTACAACTGCTTTGCGGGTGCGATTGAGTCACCGGTGTATGCGGTGTAAAGCCCCAAACACATGGGTGATAAAAACGGACGACGTGCGGCGGTTACCATAGCAACCATCGTGGACACTGACGTGCCGCCAAGGCTCGGCGTCTGCGGCGGTTGCTATGGCAGTGATTGCTACACCAAAGTGCTTACCCTGCTACAAATAGACAAAATGTGATGAATATTGTCCAATATTGTGTCAAAACATATCACTTCATTAATACTGAACATGTAGCAGTCGAGGCCTCGCTACACGGCCGGATTGTTGCACTAAGCATGTCCTAACTTTCAGAACTTGGTTTGATCTCTATCAAAGACAGTCCTCAGAGGTAGCGCAATAGTTCTCACGTTCGTGGTTTGTTTCGTTGAGTGCGAATCTTGCCGCGCACTGGTGCACTGCAATGAAGACAGACGTCTCCGCGGTGTAGGCATCGCTTATTTTCGTATCTTGCATCGCCGCAGCGCTGCCGCGTGCTTAGGGGAAAGTACTTTTGGAGCAGGATGTTGGACACAGTTGCGCCGGGTATACTAAAATGAAAAGAACTTGGTACTAATGTAACAAATTTACCTTGTAGCAACAAAAAATCTCAAAAAGGCTGCGGCTTGTAGATGAATAGATGATTGATAGACAAAAGGATGAAGGGTATAACAAGTATTTGGGTATAACTCCATGTCACTAGCGTGCAGTGCAGAGGAAGGCAATGCCAGGGGAAGAGAGAAAGAGCGAGCACTAGGAAGGAAGAGGAGGGTAATCGAGGGCGAGGGGAGAAAGAGAGCACCAGGGAACGTTAGAGAAGAAAGGAGGTTTCTCCCCTCCCCAGCCTTTCTAGTACTTACCATTTCTCCCCTTGCCTGGCGTTGCCTTCACCTGTACTGCAAGCAACTTTTTAGAGCGCAGCTCTTAGGAGCCCGTTTCCGGCTTGAGCGGCGTCGCCGTCGCCGTCGGCGTAACCGTGGGGTGCAGTATGGGTAAAGTTCCCCGTGAAATCTAGCGGAAAAATTTCCCCGCTAAATTTAGCGGAAAAATTTCCCCGCGAAATCTAGCGGAAAAATTTCCCCGCTCAATCTAGTGGAAAAATTTCCCCGCTAAATCTAGCGGAAAAGTTTCTCTGGGGTCACGTGACCCCCTGCCGAGGTCACGTGACCCCCACCTGACCTTGGGGGTCAAGTGACCTCAGGGGGTCATGTGACCACACCCCCAGGTCACGTGACCCCCCCCCCCCCCCCCGACAACACGTGACCCTCAGTACCCTTCCCTCCTCCTCCTCAAGAGCTACTCTCTAATTCGGTGTTACAGGGAGTTGTAAACGGCTTTCATTTTTTATATAGTGACACAAAGTGCACGTTAATGCAATATTCTGAGGATTTTTCTTTAATTAGATATGGCAAGGATACTTATGCGTTGTGGGGAGATTTTTATGGGTGGCTGTATAAGCTTGTATTTTTTATGTCAATTCTGTTTAGTGATTACCTTGACATAGACTCCATCTGTGTGGTGGCACAGCAAACTAAGTAAATTAAAACTAAATTAGCACGAGCAAGATGGTAACTTGGGAATAACCTTATCGAGTTCGAATGGATTGTTTGGAAGCCTTACTTATTGTTCACATGCTTTGTTTTTATCTGAGTTAATCATGCATTTTTATTACAACCTTAAAGGCCGACGTACACTTCGCCCTTTCCACTTTTGCCCGCCAACTCCTCTCCTATATACTCTGCACGTTTTACCTTGCCCCAACTTGGCTCCCCCTCGCAGCTTAGGGGAGGGGAGCACTAAGATCTTCCCTGCAGAAAGCCGCATATCGGCCTTAAGGGCTCCAGTCAGACATCCCTTTAAGTGATTAATAATATTCTGTTCTAACATTATTTTTGTGGAATATAATTTGGCTTACTTTTGGCTCCGTACATTCATTGCAGTTCATACTGTCCTTCATCACTCAGCGTATTGTTCCCGGTGCATCTACACACAACCACCCAGCTACTTGGTTCTGTGTTTGAGGGCGTCAAAACTGTTCTGCAATTGATGCTAACAGGTGGGAACGCAAAGTAGACAATGTATTTTTATGGATAGGCTCAGTGGCGTAGCATACTTGCTTGCGACGCCTCAGAAAGGAAAGCAGTGCCCTTTCTTATTTGCAACACTCATTGCATTTTGACCTTTTACAGTTTCGCGTTGTACAGGGCATATAAAATAATTATAGAGCTCAAATTTGTTTCATGGTCTTGTTGGACTTGAGTTTGATTCAGAGAAGGAAGGCTTTGCAGCGATGCACAAAGAGCAAAACATTTTTTTTTTTTGGGGGGGGGGGGGGGGGGGGGAAGGAAGGGGGGAGGGGGGAGGTGCATTTCGGACATAAGGCTCTATTTTAAACGAATACTCCAAATATACTTAATTCCAACAAATTGTCCGTAACGAACTTTCACTAGTTCACAGTCGCAGCTGGAACTCGGGGCGGTTGTCGTATAGCGTGGCACTGGCTTGTCTGCTCGCCTGGGAACAGAGTGCTGCACTACGAACCCCCAGTAACATCAATATGACCTATTCATACCGAGGCCTAATAACTTTAGATACGAATGGGCTGTTTGGTATACCATTAAGAAGAAACAGGGTCGAAGGACATAAGGAGGAGAGAACACACCACAAGGACTGTGGTCTCCGGTGTCTTTGTCTGTCCTTAGCGCAGTTTTCCTTTTTTTTAATAATCACTGGTATAGCTAAATGGTTAGTTGATTCAACATTACTTCTCAGTATTTCTGAATTTATTTATTTGCGGCATTTTGTTTTGCTGACGCCGAGATACAACTGAAGCACAGCTGAATTAAAAAAAGAAGAAATTGACCCCCAGGCATCTGAATGTTAAAATGATTTCAAGCAGACTTCTGCAAATCTTACCGCTACCGGTATTTTTCTCAAGACAGTTTACCTAAGAATGTTCCTTGAATCTTTTTTTTTCTTCTTATTATTACCGTGGCATAATGTATATCACTGAAAAACTTGTGGCAAGTATTGAGGTCACAAATAATAGTCCTTGAGAAAGTCACACTCAGTCTTCCGAAACGAAAGCGCGCCGCCATTGTCTTCAGGTCCCGAGATGTGAAGGCTGTAGTCGTAGATGGTTTCGCCTTTCAGTGCGGGAACGTGCCTGCAAAGAGCATACAAAGGATTGTACCCCGTGAGTTCAATGTCTATGCCCGATGCTTTAAGGCCCGCTTCAGACAGCGCAATTTCGCCCAGCAACTTGACGTCGCAACACCAGCAACACGGGCCGCCCGCGTTCACACGCAGCAACCGAATTGCTCCGACTTGCCATCATCATCATTAAATTTGATTCTTCTTTCACTATTTAGGCGCCCAGCTACGCGCTATAAACGCGTTCTTATATCTTTGAACGGCGTTGAGAATACTAACTAATTTTTCTGAAACTGTTTATTTCCGAAAACGATCCATTCCAAGCCAGAACTAAGTCTTTAGCTGTCATCATCGCCACTACAGGGGCATCACGTGAAAATATGGCGTCCCTGATTGGCTGCTGCCGCTTCAAACGTCTCCGATTTGTTCGAGTTGCTCGCCTGTTTCGAGCTGGACCCGATCTCAGCAATTCGTGCCAATCTGGGGAAAACTAGGGAACAACTCATCAGCAACCTCAAAATTGCTGGAAAAGTTGTCCCCTCTGAAGCGGGCCTAACATAATCATCAGCTATGACGCATCCGTCCAATTGGTGGACAAAGATGCTTTGATACGCATGCCATCAGCAGAAATCGTGTCATGAACCGTCACTGAGGCCCCTCATTGGTTTGTAACGGTCTACATAATTAAAGTGATTGTCCGGTAAAATTCTGTTTCAGAAAACCTAAATTATATTGCCAATGCTTTTGAGAATATCTTCAGTACAATATCCGAGTTTTATATTTTCGTCCGCACAAGCAATTCAATTTTAAAACGCCCAACTGCTCAGAATGCACCCGCAAAACACACGGCGTTTCAGTTGGCAACAGCGGAAGCTCTGACGTAGCATCATGCAAAGAGTGCCACCACACCTTTTGACTGCTGTCTCAGTAAAACAACTTCGTTCTGGAAAAGACAAGATTTAGGGTATAGGGCGTAATTACTGGACGCCATATTTGTGGGTGCTGTTTAGAGCGCATGCTCAGAACGAGCTCACATCAATAGGCTGCTAAGACCGGCACTCTCAATGGTGCGGAATGCACGTTGCAAAAGAACTGTGGAAGCTCGCCATCAGCACGCGCTCAGCATTCGCGCACACAGCTATGGCCGCCAGTGAATACTTCCTATTGAGGGAACCACAGTTCTTCGGCGATGGTACTCGTACGCACGATCAACCATGTTGATGAAAACCGGGAATAAGTCAACGCCCGTGACTCTGACGCTACCATGCTTGACGCGACGTCAAGACACGACCAGCCATGCATAGTTGCGAAACCTGGCGTGCGGTTGCATATTGATGTTCACAATTAATTTAACACATACTGAGGCGCCTTTTAATGAAATAAATACCACATCTGACCATCTTTCAGCCCACTCTACCCAGCCTTTACTTTCCCGGCATGCGATTTCTCATATCTCAATTCAAAACAGCTATTGGGAAACGACAAATCAAGTTTGTGGAAAAACCAACATTCAAAT